CAGGAAGAAAAAAGAATCAGCAAACTTAAAGATAGGAATTGACACTGACTCGTCTGAGAAATAGAAAAAGCAGAGAAAAAAATGAATAGAGCTGAGACTGGTGTGACACCATCAAGCAAACCAACATTCAATAATGAGAGACCCAGAAGCAGAGAAATTATTAGAAAGAATATTTGATGAAATAATAGTTGAAACATACCCAAATTAATAAGACATTAATACATCTAATTACATCTAAGAAGCTCAGTGAACTCCAAGTAGAACAAATATAAGGATTCACAGTGACACATCATAAACTGTTGAAAGCTGGAGATAAAGAGATCATCTTGAAGGCAACAAGAAGAAGCTATTTACGTACAAGGAATCACCAAGTAATCAGTAAAATGAACAGCTGATTACTCATAAAAAACCAGTAAGACCAGAAGGCAGTGGGATGACCTACTCAAAGTGCTAAATAAACTGTCAGTCAAGAATTCTATATCTAGCAAAACTATCTTTCAAATATGGAAGTGAAGCTAGAACATTCTCAGATAAACCAAAATTCGGAGAATTTGTTACTAACAGACCTGGCCATGAAGAAATGCTAGACAGTTATAATGCCTCAGAAGGATGAACTGACAGTACTCAAATCCACTCAAAAATATTTAAAAGACAATGGAAAAGGTAACTACATAGGAAAATATAAAAGACAATATATTTTAGTTTGTAATGCCTCTTTTTCCCCCCTGTATAATTTAAAATACTAATGCATAAACAATAATTACAAATCTACATTGATGGGAACCACGTATAAATAAGTAATTTACGACAATAATAACATATAGAGGAAGGGAATGAGGTATGCATGAGTAAAGTTTTTGTTTACTATTAAAATTAAGTTGGGGGCAGAGGGCTTAGTCTAGAGTAGAGTGCATGCTTAGTGTGTACAAGACCTGGGGTTCAATTATCGGCATGCATGTGGGCGGGCATGTACACACACACAAGTTGGTATTAACTGGAACTAGTTTGATACAAATAAAAATATTTACCTCAAGACAACTACTAATATTATAAAAATACATACTACAGGAAAAAAGAAGAGTGTTTCAATGGTTCAACAGAATATACTTAACACTAAAGAGAGTTTTGAAGGAAACGCAGAACAAAAAGACGTTAAGACATAGAAAACAGAAGTCAGGCATCCTTTTTATCAGTAATTACATTAAATGTAAATGATCGTATTCTAAAATTTAAAGACAGAAATTGGCAGAATGGAGAAAAAATACACAATTCAGCCAAATGCTATTTATAAGACATTCCCTTTAGATTCAAGCACATAAATAGGTTGAAAGTGAAAGGATGGGAAAAAATATTCTACCCAAATAATAACAAAAAGAGAGCTGGGGTGGCTATACTAGTATCAGAAAAGAGTATACTTGAAGACAAAAACTGCTGAAAGAAAAAGAATATCATAAAATCATAAAGTCAGTTCATCAAGAAGATAATAACAACTATAACTACATAGGCCCCTAAATACATGAAGAATAAGTAGAATTAAGGGGAAAATTACAGATCAATAACAATACTTGGAAGTTTTAATACTGTCCTCCTAGATCAAAAGGAAATAAAAATTATGAACACACTATAGACCAAATAGACCTCATGTATGAACATGCCATCCAACAAGAGCAAAATGTGCATTCTAAAATATCCCTGAAACATTCTCCAAGATAGAGGACCATGTGGTAGGCAAAAAAAGACCCAGTAAATTTTATAAAACTGAAATTATATTAAGAGACTTCTCAGTCACATATAACAAATTAAATTTTTTAAAAATAACTTAAAAAAGAATTTTTTATTATATTAAATTGTATTAAGTATGAAAAAAAAAAAAAAGACTTCTCAAACCACAATAAAATAAAACTAGAAATCAACAGCTGGAGGAAATTTGGAATCTCACTTAAGATATACTTGCTTTTCTATAATTTTGTCAAATATATACCATTAAACATCCTGCAGAGGTTGTAGACAGGGCAATTATAGATGAGAACAATAAAGTAAGTTATCAGAAGTGACTCTTAAAAGAGTTCAGGAACATCGCAGATATGTAATCAATATAAACACTTAAATAAACAATCAAAAATGAGATTAAGAAAATTACATTTATAATATAAAAAAGAATAAAACACTTAGGAATAAATATAATAAAAGAAGTCAAAGATTTATATTTAGAAAATGCCAAAGGAAATTTTTAAAAGATCTAAACAAATGGGAGAATATCCCATGTGCAGGTCCTAGAAAACTTAACATTGTTAAGAGGGCAATACCTAAAACTCATATAAACAAGGAACCCAGAGTAAGTAAAACAAACTTATAATTATAAAACTTACACAACAATGTTATGGTATAAAAGACAGTGCAAAAGCTAAGGTATAAAATACTGGCTCAGGGCTGGGGTTGTGGCTCAGTGGTAGAGCACTTGCCTGACATGTGTGCGACACTGGGTTCAATCCTCAGCACCACATAAAAATAAACAAAATAAAGGCATTGTGTCCATCTACAACTAAAATAAATAAATAAACGAAAGGCTGGTACTGACAATAGATCAATTTCATATAGAACTAAATGCCCAGAATATGCTCAATTTCTATGATTCATTGATTTTCGACAATGTTGCCAAGATAACTCAATGGAAAAAAGGGGAGTCTTTTTAACAAATGATGCTGAAGAAACCAGATGACCACATGCAAAAGAATAAATTTAACACGTGCATTACACAACACTCAAAAATGAACTCAAATAAAGCAAAGAATTAAGCATATAAGATCTAAAACTATAAAACTCTTAGAAGGAAATATAGAAATAATCTTTATGATATTGGACTAGACAACAATTTCCTAGATATGATACCAAAAGCACAAATAACCACAGAAAATATCAATTTATCTAAGTCCAAATTAAAAATCTGGTGTGCATCAGAGGACACTGTAAAAAGTGAAAAGACAAAACTACAGAGCAGGATAAATAACTGCAAATCTTATGTAAGGATTTAGGATCTAATATCCAGAATATATGAAAAAACTATTACAACTCAATAACAAAAAGAAAACCAATACTAAAATGGTTGAAGGATGTAAACACACATTTCTCCCAAGAAAATATACAAATGACCAATAAGTACACAAAAAGAGGCTCTACATCCTCAGTCATTATGGAACTATGAATCAAAACTGTAATAAGAAACCACTTTATGCCCACCAGGATGACTGTAATAATAATTTTTAAAAAGTACATGCATCGGGCACAGGAGCACATGCCTGTAATCCCAGTGGCTTGGGAGGCTGAAGCAGGAGGATCGCAAGTTCAAAGCAAGCCTCAGCAACTTAGTGAACTCTAAGAAACTTAGTGAGACCCTGTCTCAAAATAAAAAATAAAAAGGGATGGAGATATGGCTCAGTAGTTAAGTGCCCCTGGGTTCAATCCCCAGTGTCAAAAAGGTTAAGTATATGGAGAAATGAGAATCCTCATACATGCTAGTGGGAATATAAAATGGTATAGGGAACTGTGAAAAAGTGAAGAAGTTTAGCAGTTCCTCAAAAAAATCGAACATAAAGTTATCATATAACCCAGGAATTCTACTCCTAGATATATACTCAAGCAGTTCCTCATAGAGACACTTCTAGATAGATACACACTCAAGACAACTGAAAATATGCTTTCACACAAAAACAGGATTTAGGATCTAATATCCAGAATATATGAAAATAGTGGTCATAGTGGCATTAGTCATAATAGCCAAAAAATGGAAACAACCCAAATGTCTATTGATGAACAAACTGTGGCAAAGCCATAGAATGGAAAATTATTCATCCACTAAAAGGAATGAAATAGTGATACATACTATAGTGTGAGTACATTCTGAAAACCAGACACAAAATGCTACATATTATATGATCCCATTGATATGAAATGTCTCCACGGAGACAAAGTAGATTAGTGGTTGTAGGGAATGGGGAGGAAAGATTGGAATGTGCTGCTTAATGGGTGTAGGGTTTCTTTCAGGGGCAATGAAATTATAAAACATATTTATCAAATATTTGAAATGGTTTTAGAAATCAGTTAAGAACTGCCAAAATGAAGCTTATATTTTTCATCTATCAAAATAGGAAATGTTTGTCCTGTTTTCAGTAGATATCTGTGACTGATATAATTACAACCAGCTTTACACATTCTTTAATCATTGCAATTACAAACTTACTGGGAAGAGCTAGACAAAATTTTCATAGTCTACACCATGTAGTACCATTTTGCAAGTTTTATAACCTAAAATTACTAATTTTTCTTATTGATAAAGGTCCATAAAAATACTATTTTGGAATGTCTAGGTATTTTAAGATAATAATTCAGTTTACCCCAGCTGCTTAGTTTATGTTAAACATCTGCAAATTCCTACGTTTGGAGATCGGTCTCATTTGGGCATCCACAGTCTCAGTCTAATCCAAACACTAGGACATGTGACAGGAAAAAGAGAACTGGTACTTGGAACAGGAGAATCACTATAAACAATTTTCCCAAGTTAAAAAGGACAAAACAACTTGAATACTAGAGTGCTCAGATGTCAAATGTTCCAAAAGAGCAATAAAAGATTCTCAAGGGGCTTCATGTTTCAATAATAGCAATCACTCTACAGAATCTGAAATATCACAAGAGAGTAGAAATTAAAATAATTTTCAAGCAAGAATTATCTTAAAAAGACTACTTTTTAAAAAAAAATTTAGTTGTAGATGGACACAATATCTTTATTTTATTTATTTATTTTTATGTGGTGCTCAGAATGGAACCCAGTGCCTCATGCATGCGAGGCAAGCACTCTACAACTGAGCCACAACCCCAACCCCTTAAAAGACTATTAAATTCAACAAGATCTAGCCATTCCTATTATCATGTTAATGTATGCTGATATTGTTCGCAATCAAGTAATCCCAAAATGAAAAAAGTAAAAGAAGAAGAAAGACATTTACCTCTTCTAAGCTCGGGAGCGAAGAAGAAGATACTGTTCGAGATGACAATGGGTGAAATGGCTCTTGACCGACAGCATGTTGATGATTCTGTATTTGTACAAAAGGGTTCTGCGGTGGCCTATGAGGCAATGGAGGTAGGCCGTAGGGAAAGCCTGGCCCTATTAAGTGATTCTGTTGCAAATTAGCAAAAGTCCATGCTCCATCAGGTGCCAGGTATTTCAAAGGAGGAGGGGCAAGGTGTTCAGATGGCAATGAAAAGGGTGAGCTGAATATCTGGGGAGGAAGGCGCTGTGGAAATGCTGGGTTGTTGGCTACTTCAATGTCTCTGCTGTTGTCATTAAAGTTAGAAAAGTGGCTACTGTGGTCTGTACTGGATGGGGGAGACGGGACTGCTGGTGGACTTCTAGCCTGAACTTGTCTATATTGCAAAAGTCTTGATTGAGGTGGTGGCATTTCAGCTAGTTCTCGAGTTTCACTTTGATCACGATGAGACAGCTCTCTGATTAAGTCTTGAAACCTACATAAAGATGATGAAACATAAGTAGAAAACAAAGGACAGGTTCCATTAAGAAGAGCTTAGTCAACTACATGGATCATTTCTACAAATCAAATCATAATACTTCATTAGAACCAGCATTAAGTAATCTTGAATGTAAGCATTAACGCTCAGTAGACAGTGCATTGAAGACACTTTCCCTTTGTATTAAAAGCATCTGTTTCTTGCCTCCACTTGATAACTGGAAGTTATAAAAGATGGTGCATGTCACTCAGAAGGGATTAGCAAATACTCTATAGCATTCACATGATGCTGGCCATAAAGCAAATTTAGTGCGTGGACTACTCCTAGTACCTGTGGTTAAAAGAAGGCTGAAGTCTGTGCTAACAGAAAGAAAAATTATGATGAATTTATAATTTGTATAACTTTTAACCACAAGTTCATTTCTGTCCTTATTCATTCTTCCTATGTGTTATTGCCACAAACAAAAAAAACAACAACAACAAAAATCCACAAAGAGACATCCACAACAATGGTACTTTTTTTCTTGCAGAAGAGACCCAAAGGACCAAATTAATCTACAACCTAAAATAGGCCATCCACGCCCACATCTGTACAAGAGTTACTTCTAAATGAATTCTCCATATTTTAGAATCAATCAAGGGAATTTTATAGCATGTGCCAAGAAGGCCAGCATTCGATGTCTTGAGACAATATTCCAACATAAAGCTGAAAAGACCACCATCACAAAAGAGAACAGAGGGACCTGCCAAGTACCTGGAGAATGTAGTTTCTGCTTCATCTTCGGCACTGCTGGTTAGCTTCCAGTCTGCCCTCACTGGCGGCTGATGGAGTCCGATGGGTGGCTGTGGAAGGTGCTGGAGGTGAGGATGGTGGTGGTGTGGGTATGCAATGCCACCCTGACTCAGGTAAGCGTGGTGTTCATTCCACTGTTGTAGCCGTGCCTGCTGCTGCCTTAATGTTTCCAGAGCTACACTCCCATGTATGCGATCTGCAGAAACATTTGTGAAAACACTGGGTTGTTGTGCATTTGAGGTTTCAAGCTAATTTTATCAAGAATTTTTACAATGAGGTTTTTTCCACAAAGGCAAAGAAATAAATACAATTTGATTTTGGTAGAAAATAAATGCTTTCTAAGTTTGCCAGAAACTAGTTATGATGATTCCCCCCCCCCCCCCACTTGCATAATGATGTAAATTGACATCAACTGATATTTAGTATTACATACAGCACTTGGAACTGGATTCTGATTATCCCACTAAGTGGCTGATTTTTGCTGGCATTATATAAATAAATCAATTCTGACCTAGATTATCATTGTATTGTACATGTCATCTTAAATACCCTCTTAACTCACTTCTAGTAGCAATATGGAAACTTACCTAAAGCCTCTCCTATATGTAATCCCGGGGGGTTCTCATCAATGAAGTTATTTAGATGTGAAGGAAGGACGGGGCCGGGCTGTGCAATGGCTCTCAGAGGACTGTGGCCTTCCTGCAGCATGGGAGGGGGCTGCTGCTCAGAAATCACAGCCTCTGCAGGGGGAGACTGTGGTCGATGAGAAACTGCGTTATTAAAAAAAGCACTGTTGGGTGTTGGCTGATATGCAGGAGAAAGCTGAGGAGGTGGCTGCTGGGCCTGCGGAGTCAACTGACTTTGCTGCTGGACCACCTGATTTGGTTGGGGTGGAATTTGATTTGGTTGTTCAGGCAAATTATTCTGCTGTTGATTTAACAAGGTGTGCTGCTGCGGAATTGGAAATGGTGGTCTTGGTAGCTGGGGAAGGGGATGAAAATGTCGATTAGGGATTGCATACTGTGCATGTGGAGCAGGAAGAGGAAGATTTATGTGTCTTGGGTTGAGATTATCTTTGCGAGGAAATTTGGTATTGGGATAAACAACACCAGGACGTGATTCGGGACTTCTGTTCTGCGGATTTGATTCCAAATCAACCTAGGAAAAAATAAGAAGTCTTTTAACTGCAGAAAATCCAAATTCAGTGGCTCTCCTTTTCCCAACCCTAATGCATCTAATGGATATGATTTATTCTCAGCAGTGAAAGCAGAAGTGCTGGGTGCTGAATCAATCACTTTCTGACAATCTAATAAGAAATACTTTTTAAATTAAAAAAGCAACACAGGGAAAAAAGCATATTAAATTTGAGTCGTAAAAAAAAGATACTGCCATTTTATTAGCATATCCACTTTAATTTCTTCAAGAACATTATCTTTAATTTCACACTTTCTTTCTTAGAAAGATAATCATTTATTTTCTCCTGATATAAATCAATAAAATGTGTTCTTTCCTTCTGATTTTATTGTTTACATATATATAATCTACTTCCTCAAACACATCAATATTAATTAAAAACTTTATCCCAACTTAAACAACTTTGAAAAGAACAATCAGGTACTATATCACTGTCACATAACTGGTTTGGTTGACAAGTTTTGCCACTGAATAGTATTGACATTCTTTCCATTAACAGACATTTGTTTAGGGCCTACCAAATGCATTTTGCCTAGTGCTGGAGATTAAAAGAGCAACTATAAAACTTAGCCTATCTCCTCAAGAGCTTAGAGCAGGGACCTTGCAAACTATGGCCCCAACCATACCATTTCCTCTCCACTGGATTTTCGTAAATAAATATTGTGTTGTTGGATCACAGCATCTTGTTCATTTACATATTGTCTTTAGCTGCTTTTACACTACTGTGATAGAGCTAAGCAGTTGCAAAATAAACTATATGGCCCACAAAGTCTATCTGACTTACTATCTAACCTAACCCCTGGTTTAGAGTCCAGTAGAGGATTAGCAATAGGTAGATACATAATTAGAGATATTAAAGGAGGACATGATATGAGACCCTAGGGTCCAAGAAAGAAAATAAAGAGGCAATGAGATTTGAGTTGAATGTACAAAGAGCCGGAATATTCCAGGAAGGGAAGGACATTCTAGCTAAAGGCAACAGCTTCTGCAAAGGCTGAGTAAGTGAAAAAAGCATAGCAGATTCGGGGGCATGAGAAGTCTACGTACACAGAGCTAAAACTTCACTTGTTTATATGTTAGCTTCCCCTCTTGGCATCAGAAGCAACCACAAGAGTCCAATTACACAAGAGCCCGAATGACTCAATACCTGAGTATAAATACTGCTTTCAATCCCATTAAGCTATGGTATACTAAGGGAGAGAATGATAGGTTCCCTTTAAAATGCAAGTATGATCATAAGTGGTGACAACATGAAAAACAAAATTTAAAGTGGAAAGATGAAATTTTTCCTTTCCAGCTCTGTTAAACCACTCAACAGACTGCTTTGGCAAAACAATGTTTTTATAAGTTTTGATGATGAATAATCACTGAGGATTACAGAGCACTTGCTTCAACAAAGGCTCTGACAGCACCTGACAAGATCTTGTGGCTGGTTTTGACTACATCTGCTTCTGCTGTACGATCCACTTGATATCTCTCTGTACCCCCCCCCCCACATGGGCCACGGTTACTTGCACTGCAGCCCCCCTCTACTAGCAGTTTGCCCCTGGCTACCTAAACACCCTGCAGCTCCTCCTACAATATGAAATCCCTCCGACTCTGACCTGTTAGCCAGATGCTCTGGGGATATAAGTATCTGAATATAAAAGAATAAATGCTTAGTTGAGTCTGGAGGTACAGCTTTGGAAGTCATCATGGAGCAGGTACTTAACATCACGAATTGGACTTGTTTATAGTAAGCAATCAGAGAAAGCAAGAGTAATGAAATAATGACAGAACTGTGGGAAAGCCCAACTTAAGGACTAGGAACATATGGGGAATGGCAAATAGAAACTTATAAAAGGGACAGGAGGTCACATCAGAGAGTTGTGAAAAACAGCAATATTGGGCCGAAGAAACCAAAAGAAGTAAGATGATCAAAGACAGCAGTGGAAAATAGTGCCAAATGCCAAACAAAACCCAAGTAAAACTAGAACTGAAGTGTATTCATAAGATGTGGTTATTTGGAAATCGATGGTCTCTGTGAAATGCTGACACCTTTACTAGACTCTGTGGGTTAAGAAGCAAATAAGAGATGAGGTGAAATGGAGAAATTAGGCACTGGCTACAAAGGAGATGAAGGTCAAAGAAAGTGCCTTTTAAAAAGTCCACCAATGTACTCACTTTAGGCTAGAAGATAAGTACCTACACTGCACAGAAGAGGAAGAATCAGTAGCTGGAAAGAATCTGAAGATAACAGAGGAGTAGTGACAAATTCTGTGAGGTGACTAGAAGAGGAGAGACTTGCCCCAACAGAATTCCTCCTCCAACACTAGTAAAAAGGAAGTAAATAAGTTTAAGGACAAAGAAAAAGCGATGTATCTAATATTATACATCAACAGGGTAAAATCCTGAGGAGGTTAAGTCTAAAGCAAAGTCAATTCCTGACAATAAGGATAGAGAAGTGGAAGGTGATCAGGCTTGAGAAGAGCTGCTTGAGCTGGGTACATGCAAAAGAAAAGTAAGAAAGCCCAGAGGTCCAATAAGATTAGAAAACATGCATCTCCAGTGGCACCAATAGCACAGTTTTTCTCTAATTGGTTCCCAAGCACAGAAGCAGGAAAAGTAAATGGATGGCCAGACAGAGTTAAGGAATCAGGCAGTGGGTATGATGGGAGAGAGCCCTGGACAGAGAAAGCCGTCTTCCTTCTTCGCTCCTACAGCTCTTCCCATGCTGAGGTCATGTCAGTGACACATCATCTCTGTCTTCATGTACTACCTTATCATGCAAAGTCTTTAAATTCAATCCATCGCTGAATAACAGAATTTGAGAAAAATATACAGGTAAAGGAACTAACAGCCCAAGACAAAGTGTCAGGTGAAGGTGCAACATGACCCATTAGATCTCTGTGAAACAGTAAGTGTAAGATATGCATATAAAGACAGCACTTTTCTTTAAATTATAAAGATTCCAAAATGACCACAGACTAAATCCTTAGAACAACGAAGTCACTAAATGCAAGCATCATACCTGTTTCGGTTCTGCAGGCTTTTTCTCTGGTGTTCGAATCTTATTAATTTCAGGTCCAGCATTATTTGTATCATTTTTACCTAAGAAAATATTTTAAAATCCTCATAAATTTTCTCCAGCAAATGTGACATTTCCATTGACTATTCAACATTAGACAAAATGAGCAGAATATTTTAAACATTTTTGACTCATTATTATCAATTTATATTACAACTTTGGTTTTGTTCTTAAATTTTAAGAGTTGCAGTTTCTCTGCAAGAAAGAAAATTTATAAATGACACAAACCTCAAAGACCAGGCAAAAGCTTAATAAAAGAATAACCTAAAACATAAAATAATTCCAGAAGAAACTGTCCAATCTCCAGGAATTTATAGCCTCATTTTCTTAACTAGACATTTAAAGGGCCTTGGCATTCTTGCCTACTTATAAAGGTTAAATATTTCGTTCATTTACAATTAAGCAAAAATCCAAATAATGTGTCAATCTAGTTTAGTAAAGGAATCTAAACTGAATGGTTTGGAGCTTAAATGTTCCCCCAAATCCATATGCTAACAGCTTGATACCCAGTCCGTGAGGCCATAGGTAGGTGCTGAGCCTTGGAGGCATGCCCTTGAAGAGGGAATTAAAATCCTGGCTGCTTGCTCCCTCTCTCTTTTTGCTTCCTGGCTGTCAGGAAGAGAACATATCTCCTCTGCCATTTGCTCCTGCCATGATGTACTGTGCCACCAAAAGCCCAAACGATGGAGCCAAGTGACCATGGACTGAAACATTTGAAACCATGAACCAAAATAAATCGTTCCTCCTTCTCAATTGTTTATCTCAGGTATTTTGTCACAGTGATGAAAAGCTGACTAACAACCTGAGTAAAATATTCTGAAAGAAATGTAAAACAGAAAACTAAAAATAAATGCAGGATAAGTGAATAGTAAAGGGGGATAAACAGTAGAGGAAGCAAAAATAATGTTTAAAAAGCATAATTAGAAGTTAGGAATATAGATAAGTGGTAGGGCACTTTGCTGGCATGTGCAAGGCCCTGAGTTTGATCCCCAGCACCAAACAACAAAATAAAACCAGCACAATTACAATAGACTTGAATAATTTCACACATGTGAATAGCTTTTAGTCTAAAGAATTAATTGCAAAATATTTTGAAGTTCCTTGAAGGAATGCTTAATTTGGGTACTTCAAAAGCATTCTTTTTGGACTACCACTACAACTTTGTAAAATAAATTATCAAGCCACAATAGAAAGACAACAGAATCAAACCTAATAGGCAGAGACTGTCATACTGGATTAAAACTGAAAATCAGACACCAACTACATGCTATTTAGCAGAAGTATACTTTTTCCCTTTTTATTTTGGTTCTGGGATGGAACCAAGGGCTTTGTGCATACAAAGCATATACTTTACCTCAATGGAAACGTACTTTAAACACAAAGACACAAACAGATTAAAAGTAAAAGACATGCTATGCTATCACTAGTCCCCGCCAAAAGCTGACATTGACTACACTGATATAAAGCAAAGAGCACTGAGCAAAGAATATTAACCAGGTATAAGAAGGCCATTCCATAACACTAAATGAGTTAATTAATCAAGAGGACATCATCTTAAACATTTATCACCTAATACCAGAACTTCAAATTTCATCAAGAACTGATAAAACATAAAGAAAAATAGATAACAATTATATTTAGAGATTTCAATTTCCTTCTTCAGTAATTGATAGAAAAAGAGACAGAAAAACAGCAAGAATATAGTAAACAATCCGGAACAAATTAATCTGATTAACATCTGAAAAGCATTCTATGCTTTTCAAGTGCACATGGAACACTAACAAAGACAAACCACTGTATTAGTTTTTCATCACTGTGATCAAAATGCTCATCAAGAGCCAGGTGTGATGGTACACACCTATAATCCCAGTGGCAAGGGAGGTTGAGGATTGGGAGTTCAAGGCTAGCCTCAGCAATTTAGTGAGGCTCTAAGCTACTTAGCAAGACCCTGTCAATAAATAAAATATAAAAAGGGCTAGGGATGTGGCTCAGTGGTTAAGTGCCCTTGGTTAATCTCCAGTACCCCAAACAAAACATCCCTTGGTTAATCCATAATACCCAAAACAAAACACCCTATCAAGAGCAATTTAGAGGAGTAAAAGTTTACTTAGGGTCATGGTTTCAGTCCATGGTCACACAGCTCCATTGCTTTGGATCTGAGGTGAGGCAGAAACATCATGGCAAAAAGGCATGGTGGAGGAAAATTACTCACCACATGGCACCCAGGAAGCAGAGAGAGGGGAAGGGGCTAGAGATAAGATTTATCATCCCCAAAGCCAAGTCCTCAGTGACCTACTTCCTCCAACGATGCCCCCCGTCACAGTTTTCACCTCTTCTCAGTAATTCATTCAAATTATTAATCCATCAAATGGATTCATCCACTGGTAAGGTTATGGTGCTCATGATTCAATCATTTCCCCCAAAGCCCCATCCCTAGACACTGCTGTATGGGGACCAACTCTTCAACACTTCAGCTTTTGGGAACATTACAGATCCAAACCATAATAACTATATTCTGTGCCATGAAACAAATATCAATAAATCGAAAAAGGATTTGTATGGTACAAAATGTTCTCTTATCGCAATGAAATTACAGTAGAAATCAATAATGGAAAAATCCTTGGAAAATTTCCAATAATGAAAAACTCAAACTCATCATTCTATGTAATTCATGAATCTAACTTTAAAGAAAAATATTATAAATTAAATATTTATGTTAATCAAGCTTGTACCTCAATAAAATAGTGAAAGGTCATATATAAAAACATTTTATAAATGTTAAGGAATTAAAAACTTAAAAAAAAGCCAAATATATATATATATACATACACATACACATACACACACACACGCCTATTCTTGGATCAAAAGACTAAATATTGTTAAGATGTCTATTCTCCCAAAATCGACCTAAAAACTTAACACATCCCAATCAAAATCTTTTCAGGTAGAAACTGAAAAGCTTATTCTAAAATGTATATAAGATAATACCTGGAAAAGGCAATTTTGGAAAAGAAGAATCAAGTCAGAGGACTTATACTACCTGCTTTCCTGACTTTTATAAAGCCACAGCAATCAAGACAGCATATTTGGCATGAACACAAACATATGCATTAACAGAAGAGAACAGAGTCCAAGTATATGGCCAAATGATTTTCAAGAGGGGTCCCAAAGGAGCTCAAGAGGAGGACAGATTTTTCAACAAATGATGCTGGAACAACTGAACATATATATATGCAAAACAAGACTATAATCATTACCTCGTATAAAATACAAAATTTAACTCAAAATGGACCTAAAAGTCAGAGTTAATAGTCTAAGACTTCTAGAAGAAAACAAGAAAAGACCTTTGTGACCTTGGGTTAGACAAAGATGTTTTAGACACAACACCAAAACACAATTCATAGAAAAATAAATGGATAAACTGGACCTCATCAAAAATAAAAACTTCTTTTGAAAGATACTCTTAAGAAAATGAAAGGAAGCCAAAGTCATATTCTGGGAGAAAATATTTTCAAAGCATATTATCTAATTAAAGTTTTCTATCTAAAATATATTAAAAACTTAAAAAGACAAAAAACCCAATAATAAAGTGAGCAAATGATATGAATAGACATTTCATCAAAGAAGATACACACGTGGCAAATAAGCACAAAGAAAAGATACTCAGTATTAGCAGTTATTAGGGACATGCAAATTAATGCCACAGCAACCTGCCATCAAATATTCACCAGCAAGGGTAAAATAACAAAGTCTGACAATACCAAATGTTGGTGAGAATGTGGAACAAAGGGAAATCTCACACATTATTGGTAGAAATGAAAAATAGTACAGCTACTTTGGAAAATAATATGGCAGTTTCTTATAAAGTTAAAAATGTATTTACAATATGCACAGCAATCTCCCTTCTAGGTATTTACCAAAGAGAAATGAAAACATGAATGTTCACAGCAGCTTTATTCATGAGAATCAAAAACTAGAAAACTACTGTATCCACCAATTATGGGTGGATAAACACATCGTGGGTGTACCCATATAGTGAAATACTAATCAAGAATAAAAAGGAGCAAGCAACTCACTCATACTACCTGATGAAAGATCAAAAGCAGTCAACACAGCCAAACATGAACACCTATATACCCTGCAATTCCATTTATATGACATCCAAAGACAAAATATAAGTACAAGCTAGTGGTTGTCCAGGGTTGGGCTCAGGGGATGGGAATGTCTGCAAAGGGGCATCAGGAAACTTTTTGAGGTTATGTGATATCTTGTACCTTGATTTTGATGGTAGTTAACAACTCTGTGTATTTATTAAAACTCATCAAACCATACATTTTTAAAGAGTGATTTTTACTGCGTATAAATCATACTTCCATAAACTTAACTAAGAAAAGTAATAGGTAATTTTTTTCTTACCTATAATTCTGGTAAATTTGCATAAGAAATACATATTTTATATCAACTATCCCACAATAACATTAATGCTTAGTACACTACAAGAATATTTTGGGTTAACAAAATTGGAAGGAAAGGACTTTTCTTTGCAATTTTAAATGACTATTATATACATAATTCAAAATATTAAAATTTAATATATTTCAGGAAATCAGTAAAACAAATCATAAGGTAGGGTTTAACCTAAAGGACACTCTGAAATTACATGCAAAATTTGTACCTGTGTACATATTTATGTCATCTGGAATGAGGATCCATGGTTATTGTAACAGGTTGATTTCAATAGTCCATGATTAACAATCATACTGTGGACAGAACTCTGCATGCCATCAGTTTATGAACAGAGTACAGCATAGCAACCTACCATTTCTATTTTGTTCATGTTGATCCTTCTCCAGATGCTGATTCTGTGGCTGCCCTATGCTGACAGGTGGATGATGTCCAAGGCCATAAGGTATAGGAGATCCCCGTCCATGTGTATGTAATAGGTTCATATTGTAGGCCATTGCTGCTTGATGTGTAATAATTCGAGGATCAACTGCAAACCTACCCTGGTATCCTGTCCATGGTACCTAGGTTATTACAAGAAATAAAGTAATTGCATTAAGTATATTTTGGAATGCAAACTTCTATAGTACTTTGATTAGAAAAAGCATACACCAACACAGAGGACAACTATCAAAATGAACAACTACAAAGTCAGTGCTACTTAACAGTATCAATTGGTAGAATCAAATTGCTATGTCTTAAGTGTACAAAAAGGACTCCCTGAATTTTTAGTGTGTAAGGAAAAATGGGTCACTTTTCAGATTCAGAATAAATTGAGGCATTAAATCATTTTACATTCTTAAATCATTTCCCCTTAATATGAACATATGCATGTCACAGATTACCACAAAAATTATCTTCTTAAATAAACTGCATAGTTATGTAGTTTAATAGACTTAATTAGAGAACAGGAGGTAAAGTGAAGGAAGAATTTAGTCTAAGGTGTCTCACTCAAAAAGTAAATCATTTAATGTAAACATATTTAATTATTTCCTTTATAGCATTTAAAGTTCACTTATTCATTAATTCAAATAGATCACTACTTCCATTACTGCTTTTGATGAAATCAACTCTACATTAAAATACAGAAACAGAAAACTTGTTTAGGTATATCTAGACACATGATGTCTGCACATTAACATAAAAGGAATAAATATAACATCTGAACTACTGTCCCTATTATTTTATTACGATATAACTATTACATGCAGACTCTTAGGAATCTTACATAATAAAAGCCTCTCTGACCTAGTGAAGTGAATTTTAAAACCTAAGAGACATTCTATTTATAGCTGATGATGTATAATGTTGCCAGGCTGGGAAGAAATAACTCCACTAAACTCTGAAGTTCACAGGGAGTGGGCATAAATTACCTATTTCTTACTCACAATTACTCTCCATGGCTACCATGGCTGTGAACTACCATAGCCAACAAGGCTACAGCACATTCGCATTTTAGCACCTTCCCCTTTCTGGGGTGTGGGTGGGGGTGCAAAAGATCTTTTGTAATAATCACCTCTGTCTGAAATTACAGTACTTCACTTACATGAAAGAAATTACTTCCTAGGCCAAAACTGCTGAATTTGGAAATATTCTCTCTCTCTCTCTCTCTCTCTCTCTCTCTCACACACACACACACACACACACAAAATTGACAAAAGTATTTTAAAACCCTAAAGAAAATTAAAAAATGGGTTTATGATATAATATGGAAGTATCTGAAAGCCCATACCCTTAGAAAGGATTCAGAAACATTTCTAAATGGCAGAAAGGTTTCATAAGGCCTAGAATTTCTCAGACAAATTGAGATCTAAAAGGACTACATTAACCCAACCCCCTCTGCCTCCTCCAGTGAATTCTATGTATCAAGAAAATTTTGAGAATTATGTAGGAATAAAAAACAAAAGATAAAATAAAAGCATTGTTTTTTAAAACAAGAGACCAAGTTACTAGTTCTGTTAACTTTCAGTCCAATTTCTTCAGAAAAAAAAATATTTTAAAAGAACATAAAACCTCTCAGTAGCTCTGGAGGCTGAAGACAGGAGGATCAGAAGTTCAAAGCCAGCAACAGCAAAATCAAGGCGCTAAGTAACTCAGTGAAAAACCCTGTGTCTAAAGAAAATACAAAATAGGACTGAGGATGTGGCTCAGTAGTTGAGTGCCCCTGAGTTCAACCCCCAGTATCCCCACCACCAAAAAAAAGAACATAAAACCTTCTAAATCAAAACATTCAATTTACAGATCTCTTTATAAAGAATGAATATTTCTGGTAATAGAGTAACAAATTATAAGCCACAATACATATTTCTTTGGTCATTTCAAAATTCAACAGTTAAAGATAAGTTACTTTAAAAGAGGTTAGAGCTGGAGACATAGCTCAATGGTAGAGCACCTGCCTAGAACGTTTTGAGGACCTGGTTTCCATCCCTAGAACCACCAAAAAAAATAAGGTTGGGACTATTTGGAACTGTCACTAAATTTACTGAAACCGGGGCTGGGGATGTGGCTCAAGCGGTAGTGCGCTCGCCTGGCATGCGTGCGGCCCAGGTTCGATCCTCAGCACCACATACAAACAAAGATGTTGTGTCCACCGAAAACTTAAAAATAAATAAATAAAACATTTTAAAAAAAAAAATTTACTGAAACCTATTTACTTTATTCAACCATAACTATTTCACATAAGTATTTACTTACAGGCAAAGGCACCGACATAACTACGTTCCCTCCATAGACAGCAGGTACATAAAGAATACTTGTCCCAGTGTGAGGATCTATTCTTTGAACAGGGCTTGGAGATTTCCCCAAATTTGGGTGAGGTCCAAGAGGAGGTGGAGGAGTATATGCTCTAATAGGATTGCCAATCAGTACAGAAGGATTGGGAGGAACTGAAAAATAAACAGAAAAAGGATGCACTCAATAGCTATACATATTCACCTAGACAAAAATAACTTAAGTCACCCAACAGCAAAATGTATTTCCCAGATGTGGCATAAAATAGCTTATAAGTTCTCTAAAATCAGCATGAGCTGTACAAATTAGCTTGTAGGAGCCAGACAGGTATTCTTCACCCACATGTGCACATACTCCTAGTAAATAGTCCTCTGGGACCAGGAAAATATACGATTCTTCAGAATAAAGTTTTGACTTGCAATATAATATAGCTACATACAAAATGAAGATTAAGTAATCATTCCTTTAAAAGCATAATTCTACAACCTTTAAAATCATTTAAATAAACTTTATCTTCAAATCTATACGATCTCACATTTGTTGGAGAGAAATAAATTCTGAAAATTTATGACGTTGCAGCCAGGCACAGTGGTGCATGCCTGTAATCCCAGCAGCTCAAGAGGCTGAGACAGGAGGACTAAGAGTTCAAAGCCAGCCTCAGCAACTTAGTGAGGTCCTAAGCAACTCAGTGAAACCCTGCCTCTAAGTAAAATACAAAAAAGGGTTGAGGATGTGGCTCGGTGGTTTGAGTGCCCCAGGGTTCCATCCCTGGTACCAAGGGGGGGAAAAAAAAATAATTATAAGCATAAAAGGCTTAAACGTTTTTTCTCAAAACTCCTGGATACATATGCTGGTGCCTACAAAATGACCCCTTTTTAAAAAAATGACACATCAAGGCACTGACATAAAAAAAATAAAAGAAAAGAATTAACTGATAAAATAAAATAAAAGAATTAAGTGATTGTCTGTGTTGTGAATTCCCGAGAAAGAAAAAGAGGGAGAGATGGTAAGGGGATTCACTTTCATTCACAAAGTGAAATCTGGACTGAATTTCATATCATAAAAGGATAGGATAGGATAATTTTTCTACTTACCAATTCCATCATTTTGGAAATGATCATTCTGAGTATGATGGAGGCTTTTTCCCTTTAAAGAAAAAAAAAATCAAAACCAATAAATTATAATTTGAACATGTTTAATATTAGAGAACAAGAACCCTTTTCCTAATCATATACAAATTAAATGTAAATGGCAACAATTAAAATTTAAAAACTGTGAGTCTATAATTAGTAGCTATTAGACTGCTTTGAGCCAACTTTCTTTTTATAAATAATAGGTCATCTGCCACTTATTCATTCAAATATTTTTTTTTATAAATAATAGGACCATTTCTGGTCCCCCAGTTTTTTCTTTTCCAAATTAAGGCTATCTAAACTTCTTTTCTCAATGAATTTTCTTAATTAAAAAAAAAAATATGCAACCTACATGTCTGAAACATAGACTTTATTCCTTTGTAGCTTCTTCTAAATTTTCTAAGAATTAAATGACAAAACATAAAAACTGCTTTTTTTAGGGAAAAATTTCAGTCTTCTATTTTTGAGGATGAAATCTTTAAAATAGTAACAGAATATAAACATGACTTGGGATTTATGGCATTTTGAATATGATTCATAATATCTGAAAGTACAAAATTTTCTAAAGGAACAGGAAAAAAGACTATCATAATTTGCTTGAGAGAATCTAGCTAATTGCTAGACAGTAATTTGGCAACATATATTAGAAGCATCAAAAATGCACATACAGGGTTGGGGTTATAGCTCAGTGGCAGAGGGCTTGCCTTGCATTTGTGAGACACAAGTTTGATCCTCAGCACCACAAAAAATAAATAAATAAACAAAGTAAAGTTATTTGTCCATCTACAACTAAAAAATGAATATTTTTAAAAATGCACATATACTTTAATCCTGGATTTGTTCTTTCAGGAATTTATCCAGATGAAATAATTATGGATTAGAGCACAGATGTTCATTGTGGCACAGTTTATATGTGTGCTAAATGTTTATCTGAATGTCCATCAATGAAGGATTTATTTTAAAAAAAAGCAATGGCAGATTTACATACTGATATCTTCTTCTACCATTAAAAATGAAAACATTTGGGCAGAAACGATATTTGAGACACAATGCTCTCAAATTCTGAACTTTTTAAGTCTTTTTCTTCTTAATAAAAAAATGTAACTAACACATGCTAAGTAAGCTGAGGAAAAAGTGGCACACTATGCAACTTACCTCTAGATATATACAAAATTTATTTGTACATAACATCAGAAAACTAAAGGGGATAATGTCTACAAGAGGAAGAAAAATTCATTCTTGACCAAAGCAAAAAATACAATGACACTTAATTTATCTACACATGCAACTGTCAAAGATGTTAGATACTTAGAACATCAGTAAACACTGAAGGTTTAAAGTGTGTTGATTATGAGTGGATGAAGGTATCTAAGTCTTAAAAAGTCATAAAAAAAGCCAAAAAGAATGATAGTTGGCTAATGGTAGCCAGAAGAGAAAAATATTCATAGTGACTGGCAGCAGCTATAAAAAACAAACTTCTGAGAAACAGTGAATTGATAAGAAAGGAGAAAAAGGGAAAAGAAAATGGCAAACACTGAGATGTCAGGAGTAGGGGGTAAGATCAGAAGCAGAGCAATTAGAAGTGACAAGAGCAGCCAAAGGCACATACACTGACAGAAGAAAGAAAAGCCAGTGACACAGAGAGATAAGATAGTTCCAAGAGGGTAACAAACCATTTAGATTTTAAAGCTTCCAAACCTATCACTATGGCTTGCTAATGACCCATGAACAAGGGACAACTATGAAGAGCAAACCACAGAGAGAAAGCACAGCAGTTGGTCAGAATGTGGGAGGCTGCAGCACCTGAATGATGTGCACACTCTAAGCATGGGTCCTATGGACGTGATGTGTTATGTGGCAAAAAGGACTCTGCAAATAGAGTTAAAGTTGTGACTTAAAATAGGGAAAGTAGCCTGGATTATCTGGTTGGACCCTATCTAGTAATATGAGCTCTAAAAGCAGAGAAATCTCCCTAGCTCAGAAAGGTGCAGTGGAAGAAGAAATAAGAGATGTGGTAGAAGAAATTCTGTGGGACAGAAGGAAACAATGCACCGTTGCTGGCTCCAAGCTGCAGGGGTACCTCTGAGAAACAGCAACAGGCTTCTACAAGCTGGGAATGCTAGTAACTGATAGCCAGCAAGGAAATAAGGATATCAGTCCTACAATTGCAGAAACTAGATTCTGCCAACAACCTGCATCAACTTGGAACCAGATTCTTTCCCAAGGCTCCAGGTAAGAATCCAGTCAGCCAACACCTCAATCCCCACCTTGTAAAACCCAGAGCAGAGAAAGCAAGTAAGCCAGTCCCAGCATCTGACCCAGAGAACTATGAGATGATAAACTGGTACTGTTTGAGTCCCTATGTTTGTGGTAACTTGTTACAGCAGCAATGGGAAGCTAATACAAAGAGTAACCACAGTCCAGGGCAGTCCTACCCTACACAACTGGAAGCTGCTGGACAAAAACATCAGCACTCTGGGTTGTCTAGCGTCTTTTAACTTAGAGCAGGAGATTTACTTAGTTTACTCAAAATAAACTGTTTGATAGCTTATAAATAAAATAATAATGTAGCACTAAGCTAGACCTAACTATGTGTAAAAGTCATTCCAAAACTAACTCCTTTCTAATAATAAATCTCAGAAAGCATCCTTATCTTAGGCAGAACACTAACTAACATCAGGATTTTTTAAGCAAAAGTAGCTCATATCATCCATTGCTTATATTCAAATATAGTTTATATCATCTGCCACTTATTCATTCAAATATTTATTTTTTCATTTACTCACTTTTGCCCATTTATTCTTTCAACAAATGTTTACTGAGGGGCCCACCATATGTCCATCCTGACTACCAAGGTAAATAAGCCTGACACATTTTCTTATCACTGGACACTGAGACATAACATCAGCAGCTGGGTACCAATGGTAAAAAAAAAAAAAAACTAACTAACAAACTAAAATATGTAAAACAATGGGATGGTCTTCAGAGGATACATTTTTAAACATGATCTGTCTTCTGGGTCATGTTCAAATGAAACTGGCCATATCTGCAAAGCTTCCAAACACTGCTCCCACCAAGTGCCCTAGAGAGTGCAGTGATGGAAGGCCACACAGGATCACCTCCTTCTAGGTCCCCTGACATTTTGCATCTTGGCTAAATCTTACCATAGAAGTATTAGGACAATAAAGCTCCTTGGTTTTTGCACAGCTATCACTATGTTTTGTTGTCAAATTAGTCCTGAGGAGGCATGCCCAGGAGCACTTTTAGCCATCATGCAACCTTGTGATGATTTTATTTACATGAACCTTATTGGGATTTTAAATTCTATTCTAACATTAGAGATTCTAACATTAGAGATACTGATTTAAAATATTTCTTATATACAGAATTGTGTTAAAATTAAGGAAACTTGAAAAAATATAATGGCTCAGCATCCCATTTAAGAAATACCATCCTTTTCTATAATGAATTAAATCCCCCTTCATTAAGATTCTTGCACATGAAATAAAATAACTGGGATTTGTTTCAAAATTCTCCAGCACATACATGTGGAAGTGGTAGGATGGGAAAGCAGGACAGAGATGAAATAAGAATAAGCTGATAAATGATTTGGTTAGCCACTGACAAAGATGATAACATCTATAGAATCAGTGAAAAAGATTTTCTAGGGCTGGGGATGTGGCTCAAGCGGTAGGGCGCTTGCCTGGCATGCGTGTGGCCTGGGTTTGATACTCAGCACCACATACAAACAAAAATTTTGTGTCCACTGAGAACTAAAAAAAAAATATTAAAAATTCTCTCTCTCTCTCTTTAAAAAAAAAAGAAAAGAAAGCCTATGATTTCTTGTCTATGTCTCTTTAAAAAAAAAAATATATTTTCTAAAAAGTTTAGGATATATTATTTTTTAAATTTGTGCTCTTATATTTTTTTAGTTGTAGTCAGACATACTACTTTTATTTTATTTATTTATTTTTATGTGGTGCTGAGGATCGAACCCAGAGCCTCACACGTGCTATGTGAGCGCTCCACCGCTGAGCCACAACCCCAGCCCCAGGATAAATTTTACGAGACAGTTTATTGAAAGCAAAACGCCACATTATGGGCCATAACCATTATTCATTTATCAGATACTTTCTTAGCACCTACTATGTGCAATGAATGGGGCTAAGCACTAGGGGTCATAAAACATACAGAATAGGATTTTTGCCTTCAGGGACTTTTTGATTTTAGAAAAACAAATGGACTAAATATATATATTCTCCACCTTTAAAAAATAACAACAACAACAAAAGGCAAACTGCAGGGTCTTGCTTAAGGACTGTATATGTATGGCATCATGGCTTAAATCTAGTGCCAGCTACAGTAATTACTTGATGCTTACACAGCTCAAGTAAGAGTTTTGTGTAGTACTGAAGAATGTGCAAAGGGCTACAAGGTTTTGCGACATTTTAAATAAAAAAACAATAAAATTAGGAAGTTTCTACGTAGGTACCCTACTCTTACATACCCTAAGCTACTTGCTGTCCCCTGTAGACATGTCACCTGTTCTCCCAAAGCACTCATCTTTTGTAAGTACTTGCTATAGTTTGGGTTTGGAGTATCCCCCAAATGGCTATGTATTCAAGGCTTGGTCCCTAGCTTGACACTATTGGAAGGTGGTAGACCCTTTAAGAGGTGGGGCCTAGTAGAGGTCTTCAAGGCCATGCCCTTGGAGGAGACAATAGGACTTGGCCCCTTCCTGTTTTTCCTCTTTCACTCCCCAGACATAAAATGAATGGTTTTGCTCTGTCACATACTAGTGACAAGAAAAGCAACCATAGGCCAAAAGCAATGGGGCCAACTGATCATGGACTATAACCTCTAAAACTGTGAACCAAAACAAAACTTTTCTCTTCATAAATTGATTATCTCAGGCATTTATTACAGTAATGGAAAGCTTACTAACATAAAACTCTTAAGCTAAGCTTACTCATTTGTTTAAAAAATATGTCAAAGCACCTATTATGTGCAAGATATTGCTCTAGGCACAGACACTAAGGCAGCAAACAATACAAATAAAAATTTCTGTTCTAAGTTAATTTTTTACATTTTCCCTACTTTCCAACTCTCTCTATCCACTCACAAACTTCCTGAACAAGAGCTCCATGGTAGAAGTTGCCTTGAATCTACTTACTTCCTCTGACCATCATTCTTTTACCTCTTCCAACACCTGCCACAAGAGAACTGAGGGGCTAAAATTTGCTGATGTATGCCTCTTTAGCACCTGGCATATAAGATAAACTCATTTATGCAGAATGCTTAATCCTCTGATAATGCCAAATCATTAAAGCATTATTGCACATTATGTACATTTTTATTTACCAATAATATACAGCAGCAGTATGTTAACATAGAAAGTAGTTCTCAGCTTAATACCTATTTAGCCTGAAGACTTTCAAAACAAGCCATTCACTATTGCTGGCACATGAGGTGTAATAAAGTTCAACACTAACTCTTTTAATTCATGTAAATAAGTTTCATACCACACTGAGGACTATAAATGTATAAAAATACTAGAGTAAATACTATATGTGCCATTATCAGAACCTTCCTTTTAGGATGTTTTTTTAGACATTTTAGAATATTTTTTAGACACTCTAGAAAATAAGCCAACTGTCTCTGCCCAAAATAACTGCCATTCAAAAGCGGAAAGAGCCTCAACTCTCCCAACCCCACTCCCTCTGACTGGATTCTTCCTAAAGAACAAAAATGAGTCAAAAAATCAATCTTTAAGAAGCTGGCTAAATTTCCTCAATGTCAAATACCGTTTGAAATGAGTCGGTCATCAATGAAAGATTAGACTTATCTTCTTTATACAAATATTATTATTATAACATAATCCTTATAAATAATATGCTGTGTTATAAGATGCAGGATGTTTTAAACTGTGTTGTTTTATTCACATCTTAGCTGACAGATAAAACCAAGTCTATCAGCAGTGAGGACTGAGAAGGTATAGTACACAAAGGATACCACACATTTTCAGATACTTTTTTTAATGTATTTTTTTTTTAGTTGAGAATGGACACAATACATTTATTTTTATGTGGTGCTGATTGAATCCAGTGCCACACACGTGCTAGGCTAGAGCTCTACCACTGAGCCACAACCCCAAACCCAACTTAAAAACTTTTGGAGGATGATTACGACCTTAAGTAGGTGGTAAAAATGCACTGTATTTTTATTACATGCCAAATCTAGACAAATTACTTGCAGAAACTGCTGGTCACCAAATGCAGTCTTCAATTCTGAAGCTTAAAGTAACTTGCAACCCAATAAACTTTGATGCTGTAGCGCTGTTCTTACCCTTTCAACTCTACAGCTTCATTAAGGGAGGCTTTACCTTGGGTGGTGATTGCTGCTGCTTGTTGCTATTTCCTGAATTCTGCAGTCTTAGTGCCCGGGGAATAAATTCAGGAGCCAACGGATTCAACACATATGTCTTCTTTAGTTCTAAAGCTTCTAACTGAGCCTTGATCTGTTCAAATGTGATCCCATGTAGACTGTTATTTTCATGACACAGGGCAATAAACCGCTCCCAAAACTTCCTACAGAAAAGATTTACAAGATCAGGATGAGACCACAGAAATGAATATAAAAGTGACTAAGGATAATTTCAAATTCTGTCTTCCCCCAGTCCCAAACTCTTAAATCCAGTAGTCATCTCATTATGATTTAGGTGCAATCTTCCTACGACAATCACAAGATTTCAGAAATTTGGTGCTTAAACTAGAGCCTTGCCTCATAAATAGTATGATACATAGAAATAGGCTTGCACAAAATTTTGGCTCATCAATGCAAGTAACATAATCAATGTTCAATTATCAGTGCCGATACAGAATGATGTTTTTGTTATACACATAACAACCAAGGATTTCAAAGCTGATAGTAATTCAATGTATAGAAAGTTAAGTACTTCAGGGCACACTCATAAATACATGTTTTTCTTCACACACCATCAACCATGCTTTGGACAACAGATTGCATATATAACAGTGGTTCCCTAAGATGTTATCACCTAGAACTGGGACAGCTATCTTAGTTTGTGTAAATATACTCTAGGATGTTATCACCTAGAAATGGGACAGCTATTTTAGTTTGGGTAAATATACTCTAGGATGTTCCCATAATGATAAAATTACCTAACAATGCATTTGTCAGAACATATCATCAAGCAATGCATGACTGTAAGTACATATTACATATACATATATATAATGTAATACAATTTATATGATTCAAGTTAATATGTATATATTTTTATGACTTATAATGTCAAAGTAGCTTGGTGCTAGATGACCAAGAAAAGCAATTCAGAAAATAAATTTGCGCCACAAAGTACATAATTCTCATGAGGATTCTATAAAAATAACAAATAACCGTCTGCAGCCAGGTGTGGTGGCTCATGCCTGTAATGCCAGTGGCTCAAGGGGACTGTGAGTTCAAAGCCAGCTTCAGCAAAAGCAAGGCACTAAGCAACTCAGTGAGATCCTGTCTCTAAATCAAGTACAAATTAGGGCTGGAGATGTGGCTCAGTGGTCAAGTGCCCCTGAGTTCAATTCCTGGTACCAAAAATAAATAAATAAAACAGCCATCTGCTCCTATGTTTTTCTCTTACTTAGCTGATGCTTGTCATAAGCACATCTTATAACATTGACTAAGTTATGAGTGTTTAAAAATTATGTAAAATACAGGGAGTTGGAATATTAATTTTAATGTTGATTATCTCCTAATCGATATGTACTAAAGAAAAATGCACTCAAAACTTATTGCAGTTGCATATTGTTATTTTAAAAAAAATTTTTTTTAGTTGTCGATGGACCTTTATTTATTTATATGTGGTGCTGAGAATTGAACAGAGGGCCTCACACATGCTAGTCAAGCACTCTACCACTGAGCCACAATCCCAGCCCTTCATATTGTTATTCTTAAAAGTTTTGAAAACAGATCTCTAAATACTAAAAATACTAAATACTTATTATAAGAAACATATAAAAAGGTTTTAAATTTTAAATGACTATTATAATATGCATACCTATGTTTAATATGAAGTTCAAATAACATTTTATTATGCTATAAAAGATAAGGCATGGCTTCTTCCCAAGCTGATATCCTGGTGTCCAGGTGGACAGCAAGTAACCAAGATGGCTTCAAGAAGCATAAATGGAAAGGTTTATAAGAGTTAGTTTAGGAATTGGGTTATTAATATATTCACAAAACTTTGCTGAGTTAAATGCTGAACCAACCATGTTTTCCTTATAGATGTGTATACAATCTTTTCAAACTTTTCTTTTGCTTTGTTTTTAACAGTGCTGGGGACCAAACTCAGTACCTAGTACATATTATGCAAGCACTTTACTACTGAGCTACAGATCAGCCCTCTTTTCTAATCTTTTAAATATGGGTTTAAGCATAGGTCCAGCCACTGGGATTACAGGTAGCTCAGTGGAAGAGCACTTGCCTAGCATGCCTCAGGTCCTGAGTTTGATGCCCAGTACCAAAGAAAGAAAGAAATATGGTCCAAAATAAATTTTAGGCATATATGTAACAACAGAAAAGTAAAACATACCACAAAATACTAAATATTTTGTGCTTTCTGACTATAAGACACAAAAGCTAACAAGAATTACTCAAGCTACTGTAAATGTGTGTTGCAAAGAAATGTACACTGAAAAGTTGTATTTTTATTCTGAAGAACCCTTCTGAAGAAATCAAGTTTCTTTCTCATTATAACATGAGAAAACCTGAGGAAGGTTATCTCTAAGATAGCACTCAGAATCAAAAGTCCATAACCTTCCACTCTCTTTGATTGGAATAGCCACAATATTCAACTGTATGAATATTTATTAACATAATTCTACTTCATACTGTACTGATAAGGAAGAGTGTAAGGTTTATTTTTCAGTCTAACTGGTAAAAATATTAGTTCCATAGAGTGGTATTTCACTTTTGTGTTGGACTTCCAAAACAAATAGGACAAAGAAAAAAAATGGATTGGCTTACTCTCTAGCTCAGTTTGTAATATCAATTCAATATTTTCATTTCCAGCTTAGGCAGTCCAAATGCCAGATCTTGTTTTTTTTTTTTGTTTTGTACTAAGGATTGAACTCAGGGATACTGAACCACTGAGCCACATCCCCAGCCCTATTTTGTATTTTATTTAGAGAGAGGGTCTCACTGAGTTGCTTAGTGCCTTGCTTTTGCTGAGGCGGGCTTTAAACTCACGATTCTCCTATCTCTGTCTCCAGAGCCACTGGGATTACAGGTGTGCACCACCATGCCTGGCTGGTCTATGTTTGAACTACCTTCTTACACTCTAAACCCTCCTTCTATTGCCCTCAATGACCTTAGCTGCATCAAACAAGATCTGAAGCAACACTGAATTAAGCAGAGCCATCAAAGAACTTCACACTTTATACGAGAAGCCAGTGGCTCAGTGACAGAGTCTTTGTCTAAAAGATCCTATGGAATAAAAAAAAATTTAATTACCTTTGAGCTAAAAAACCTCATTTTAGAAAAAACGCTAAATACTTACTATAAATTAATCAAGTTAGCCGAGTTCCAAAAGTAATCTGAAATTTATATTTCAAATCTGGCTTGTCTTCTTATTCTGCCATTGATAGAGCAAATAGATGCCTGGTTCTAGCACCCAGTAACTGAGCTGACTCCAGCAAATTACTTATCCTATCTTTATACTTCAATTTCCACATGTGTAAAAGAGGGCATCAGCAATATTACTATTATCATTCCTTATTATTGAAAAGACTATTTCTCACTTCTAAACTTTCAGAGAAATATATTTTTCCTTCAAAACTTCTACATTTTAAAGCTAGAAAGAATTTTGTTTTTTCTCTTAGTGAAGGCTCTTTCCAAGACTATTCACATTGCCTATGAATTCCCAAAACTTTACTGAAGTGCTACGCATGGCATGATGAGGCATTCTGAACACTCATCACTGGAAGACCATTTGAGAACTGACTATATTCATAATGAGGCTAAGAATTCACTAAGGTTATGTAAAGCCTTCCTAATTCTCAACACCTTCCCTAAATTGTTTATGCTTACCATTTCTTTCTTCTAGTTATATTGGTTTGGGAACCCAAATATGTCTTCATTGTAATATAATTTCAGGTATTTCAAAGGACATGTCCTTCCTTTTAATCACTGAACAAAAACATGAATACAAAGTTTGCTTTGGTTTTTATGTTAACCTTTTTCTAGGATCACTAACAGAATACTGAAGAATTACTTGAATAAAAACTGATTTTTAAAAAAATCAGGCTGGGAGGATGGGATTGTGGCTCAGCAGTAGAGTGCTTGCCTAGCACGTTCGAGGCCCGGGGTTCGATCCTTAGCACCACATAAAAGTAAAATAAAGATATTGTGTCCAACTAAAAAAAAAAAAAAATCAGGCTGGGCCGTGGCTGTGACTCAGTGGTAGTGCGCTTGCCTAGCATGCGTGAGCCAAGGGTTCGATTCTCAGCACCATATACAAATAAATAAAATAAAGAAGGTCCATCAACAACTAAAAAATATTTTTAAAAAAATCAGGCTGGGGTTACAGCTCAGTGGTAGAGTACACGTGAGGTACTGGGTTGGATCTTCAGCACCACATAAAAATAATAAATAAAATAAAGGCATGTGTCCGTCTAAAACTAAAAACAATATTTAAAAATAAAATAATTACTTGATGTCCTAAGATCACTACAAGATCCCTCTACATGTTTACATTTCCCCCAAGTTAATGAAATGTGCTAATGAAGAAATTCAATTAAAGGAAAGAAATTTTCCCCTTATACACAGCAGAGTAGGGAAATGTTATCACCATGTTACCACCCTCCCCTGTCTCCACGACTCAGTGCAAAGTGTAGATCTATTGTGTATTCATCACTTCCTGGGAAAGAGCCTGAACCGTGAAGTCAGTCTGACATCTGTCTGAGTGAACCACATAATAGCCTTGTCACGTTGGGCACTTATTTAAACTCTCTGGATTGGGCTGCTATTTCAAATGCAAATAAAATAGCCACATTGCAGAATTGTTGGGATGACTGAATCAGGCAATGTGTGCAAGGCACATAACCTAGCACGTGGCAGAAGGAGAGCTGTCAATAATCGGTTGCCACAGTGTTAGCATCTGCTAGCACGGAGAACAGGGTGGGGAGAAGTTTATTACATTTATTTCAGGCTAATAGAAAAAGTCCCATTTAAAAATAAAACAAAAAAATATATATAACTGACTGATATATAACTGACTTTATACAAAAATCATTCCTTGAACTTGATTATAATCTAGGAATATTATGCTAATATTTTTATAAATATCAAATGAAAAGTGAGGGAGAGTGTTCTTCATTTTTATAGGACCTGAAAATCCCATTATATTATCCAGCTTTACTTGCAGTGTGAGAGTAAGTTAATTTCTAATGAAATTAACAAGATTAAAGTTTAAACATCTGTGTCTCAACCATCAACTCAAGACTACAGTCACAATTATTATTCCCATTTAGTTACGGAATGTATGATCCCTACCCCCCCACACACACCATTTATTATTTCCCTGAAAATATTTTGCTTAGCAAATAAATTAATTCGAGGTTCTTGGCATATTCCAGCTAAGAAGATAAAAATAAGCAACCAGAAGACCTAGTTTCAAGTTAAAAATTAGCCCTGGACAATTTGACAGAGTGACTTCAGGAAGAATTCTTCATTTATTTGTTCTGAGAAAATAAGAATTCGTGTCAGAGGAGGGATAAGAAGTGCTGACCTCATTCAACTGACAGCATGATACGGCTCAATGAAAGGTTTCTTTAAAAATATTCAGGTTCGTAAATATTTGCAGTTACTTATACAGCCCAACAGTGATGTAGCTTCACACTATACTCATGATTCTTCTTTCCCCAAAAGTGTCTAGTTGTTCTGTCATCCTGTTCTATATATGTTTTAATATAATAAATTTTAATCAAATTATATACGTTCTCACCAAATGATAACTAAAACAACAATGGAAAAATACCACAGCAACATCCTAACCAAATACACTTTCAACGGACATAAAGTAACTAAAAAATAAAATTCTCATGATGAGAGTAAACTTATTAATACATGTAGTTCTACTCATTTGTAACCTGGGTACTGGGTTGGATATTCCTTTCCCTACAGCTTGTCATTAGTGACTCCAAATGAATGGCAATCTATTTTTTAAATGATAAATTAAGGACATGTTAAAACAAAACTGTAGATAACATCATGATTCCTCCAAGCTTTGTTATTTTTAAAAGAAAGTTATTTTTCCTAATGTAGCCATACATTATAATCATTTACTTGATTCCTTTGTGAATAGCTTTCCCCTTTCAAGAAAATTAACTTCTTTTGGAGTCTTAAACTAATACATGAACCTTATTCTTAAAGGTCCCAAATTGACCCTTTCTCTTAGAAATTTTTTTCCTGCTAAATATGAAAACAGGCAGTTAATTTTGCCACACCTACACAGAACAGAAAACATGATTTCTAAAGAGTCATGTCCTAACAGTTTTTTCTACTTTGATTCTCACATGTTAAAAAGAAACAATTAGGGGCTGGAGTTGTGGCTCAGTGGTAAAGTGTTCGCCTAGCATGCATGAGGCACTGTGTTCGATCCTCAGCACCTCATAAAAATAAAATAAAGATATTGTGTCCACCTAAAACTAAAAAATAAATTAAAAAAAAAAAAAGAAACAATTAGCCAAGGCAGATTTGGGAATGTCTAAATTTCTTTCTATATTTTGAACTTACTGTGAAAGATATTACTGCACATATAAAATTTTAAGTAATCTCTAATGAATGTCTTTATTTCTTTCTTTCTCATAAGGAATATTATAAATTTCTGTTCAAATGCCTTTAGAAAAAATGTTGACACAGATTTTCAATACTCCAAAGGACAAATAGGACTGGCCTCATACAGTTTAAATTTCTATTAAATAGTAAAAATCACAAGAATAGAGAGAAAACTTTTTGTTTCAGTTGATATTTAAACCACATTTTAGTAGAACTGTTCTTTATAACTACAGCCTAATGAATGTGAACAATCCTACCTAGAGACAAGTAATGGCCACTTCTAACCCCCTTTAATTTTAATATCCTCTGAATTTACCAGATGCAAAGAATTACTTACGTTGAAGTATTGAGAGAAACTACTACAAAGGGAATTCATAAAAAATTGAAACTAAAGTAACAATAAAAGGGGAGGGGAAGCAGGCAATACAAAATTCAGCCTCCCTGCCAAAGTCTGGCTGGGCACAAAATAACCAAGCCGCCTGGAGGCACTTTTAGGTTCAAACAGGAACTCCTTTATTGCCCGAACTTCCCCGGCCACCCACTTGGCCCTTCCAGGAACACCACACACCAACTGGAACTCCCTCCCCCAGGCCTTCACCAACCAACTGGAACTCTCTAGGAATCCCCCTCTAGGAATCCCCGCAAGAACTCAACCAGAACTCAACAGGAACTCAAAAGTAGTGAGCACCCGGACAGCAGGGGTCTATATATGTTTCAATCCAGCATCATCCAGTCACAGCAATTATACACAGCTTAACTTAATTATCATCATCTTAATGGCTCCCTGGCGTCACCTCTCAACCATTCCTTCTGGCAAAATGCCAGGGGCCATTCCGCTGTGGCTCTCAACACCTCCATCAAAGATACACCAATGCAAAACCACCCCAAACCACCCAGGCTCCTAGTACTAGCTGCTCCTCTTCCTGGACACTTCATAGCTCTTGTTGCCAAAGTTGGCTTCTCAGGAGGCCAGCTCTGACTGCATCAAAAACCAGTCTGCCTCATACATTCATGTCTAATTCCTCTTATTGTCCTGTTTCTTTTACATTATACTTACTAAATAAAATACTATACAAGAGCTGGGGTTGTAGCTCAGTGGCAGAGCACTCACCTAGCATGTGCGAGGCCCTGGGTTTGATCCTCAGCACCACATAAAAATAAATAAATAAAATAAAGGTATTGTGTCCTACTACACCTAAAAAATAAATATTTTTAAAAATACTATACAATATTCTTATTTAGTTCACTGTCAGTCTTTCTTTACTCCCCAATAAAACATAAGCCCACGAGGGCAGAGATTTTTGTCTGCTTTGTTCATTGATGTATCTCCAGTGGATAAAAGAATGTTTAAAACAGAGAAGGCACTAAGGAAGTATCTGCTAAATAATGATTAAATTAATGAATACACAATTATGCATATAATGAATATACCCAAAGTAATATACTTTTCCATTTCCATTGAAGCCTGATTTTAATTAGCCAAAAGGTCATAAATATACATGTATACACAGACATACAAATTACTTCACATTTCCCCCTTTAATATGCCAATCAGTAACATGATTACCTGCATCTTCCAATAGAACACAGAGCAATGGGATCACCCACCACAGCAACCAGGGACTGCGCTCTTGTGATGGCAGTGTTGAGAAGCTTGTAGTTAGATAAAAAACCATAATCTAAGTCTTCTGTGGAATCTTCCAGAAGTTGCTCTTTCTTTTTAATTGGTGTCTGTTTATGCTTACAAGTATGTCTTGTCCGTACTGTGCTAAGAAACAAAACTCTGAATTGCTTTCCTACAAGACAAAATTTTTTTAAAATGCTTGAGATTATCATTCTGAATCACTGATTTAATAAAGCATTGCATTTTTAAAAATATAAGTGCTAGATAATAAATGGTGAGGATGCTAGTGGCAATGTAAAATGGTGAAGCCATTCTGGAAAACAGTGAGGCAATTCTTCATTGCTGGTCCAGAAGTGATCTACGATCTCTTAAAGATCTAATATCTTTTATAAGAATTAAAAATTAAATGTGAGGGGCTCAGGTTGTGTAGCTCAGTGGTAAGGCACTTGCCTAGCACAAGTAAGACACTAGGTTGGATCCTCAGCACCACATAAAAATAAATAAATAAAGTAAAGGTACTGTGTCTATCTACAAAAATCAAATGTGAACACACTTTAGGCCTTAAGCATTTAATAACTTACTTTATTCCAATTAATGCTTACCTTGAACATTTAGCACCCTTTCCACATTAACATCAGATAATCTCTTTTTTCGAAGTTCAGCACGTATCCTGAACACTTGATCAGCATATGGAGTCACCACACCAATACTGCCATCATCCAACTTTCCCCACGCTACTGGCCACTTCCTTCTTAACTCTTCTACACGTTCCACCACTTCAAATACCTTTAAACACACACATACACACATATTAAAGTTTTTACCAGTGTTTGGAGAAAGAATACAGTAAGTGAAATAGATTTATAAAGGATCCCATTTTAGCAAAAGCCATTTAAAAAAATACCTCTAAATGGGAATTATGTTTTGCTGGTGTGAACAAAGTGATAAAAATAAATTTATATTCACATTTTAAACAGTAAAATTCTATAATAATGTAACCAGTGAAAACCTGAAAATAAGAGACAATGTAATTGGCCCACATCCTTCACCTAGCTCCATGCTTAACTGGGAATAGGCTCAAGCTTCTGTACAGAAAGAAGAACAGGAAAAGGATATGAAATTAGGAAAACAAGTCCTCACATAACCAGTGCTTCTTAGTCTGCTCCCACCAGATTAGGCTAATGAAACTAGCCAACTAGAAGATTCCTGTAATCAGTGTATCATTAAGTCCCAACAATACAAGCAGGGTACAGCAATGCCTTCTCTACCACTGAGTAAGTACGTGGACCAGCCAATAACCATCAGCTGACACCAAATACAAATTTACATCAGAGAGAGAGACTTTCAGAATGCATAGCCTTCTTGTGGCACAAGTTCAGCTAGGCCATTTCATTATCTTTGCAATAAAATAACAATATATTTTATGCAACTGAATATTTTGGACCCTACTTACTGGATTAAGATAGGGTTTTTAGTATAATTTGACCTATTTTAACTTGATGAATTAATCAAATAATTTCAATGTATGGCATAGTGGGAAATACAAAGATTAATAAAACATGTTCCTTGCCTACTAAGCAATTATGATCTATTTACAAAACAGAGCGCTAATTGTGTGTGTGTGTGTGTGTGTGTGTGTGTGTGTGTGTGTGTGTGAGCGCGCGCGCGCGCATCAATCCAGGGTCAGGCAAGACCTGAAAAGCATACAGCAAAAAGAGAAATTTTAAAACATGTCTTTTAAGTACTACTTCAACTTTTGAGATGGGGTCTTGCTATGTTGCCCAGGCTAGTCTGAAACTTGTGAGCCCCAGTGACATTACCATCACAGCCTCCCCAGTAGTTGGGACCATGGGAGCGTGTCACCTTGCCTGGCTTAAGTAGACAATTTATTTGCCATTTAATAATATTTATTTGAATTTATAATTTAGAACAAATTGACAATTTTTGTCTTTTCAAGACCTTGAGGATAATTGGCTGGGAAGCAGTTCCTGTTTCTAGATACAAATTCAATGAATGACTACAGGAGATGGGGATCAGGGAATAGGCACTATAGTTGTCTACTATTGTAATAATGATACACAGCAGGGCATCAAATACACAGGCTGCTCAAGGACTCTAAATAACAAACCAGACTAAACACTGGTTGGTATTCTCACTATGGGTAACAAAAAAGGGTGGGGTTAAGTATATTACAGTAAAGAATAAAAAAGAAGCTGGTTTTACCCATGTGACTAGACACAGAGGAAGATAAAACTTGGGAGACACCTCTCCTGTGTCCCCTGCCACAGAGATCCTATCACTAAGCAACACATAATCATTTCTCCACTTTATTCCTCTGATCGCTGCGCAGCCTTAGATTCTTGACAGCATAAAACTGTAGTTCAGATATTGGTATGAGAAGCTTGGGGAAACCTCTCCCAAACAAGTATCTATGAAGCTGGCCAGAACAGGTAAAGGCTCTGGAGATTGATCAAAGAGTTCAGAAGAAAGTAAAAAGCATTTACTCAATAAAACCTGCAGAACTCAGTAAGCTAGGTGCTGCACTCCACCCCCTGCCCTCTTCACAGCTCTGTCTCATAGGACTGTCTCTTCAGGCAACTTCTATCTTGGCAGTTCCCATCTCCCTTAGTTCCCTGGGGTAATGGAGCTATTCCTGGTGGTTTGGCAACCTGTAAACACTGGCAGATCTTATTTTATGTTGCCACACACTGCAGAAGGTTGAGCAGCTGGAAGTAGACAGTGCCTATTCCCTGATCCCCATCTCCTGCTACACAGGGAAGCCCAAAGTGGGACAGTGGGTGAAAGTGCAGCCCCCCTTTCCTGTACAGCTCTGCATTGGATGAGAGCTGATTCAATGTGTTTGGTAGCCAATGACAGTTCCCATCTTCCCCATTTCCCAGAACAGACTCCCAGAAGAGAAGTCCTATTCAGCAGCCTATGAAAATCTGCAAATTCCAACCTCTTCCAGTCTAGGTTACCAGAAGGTCCACACTGGTAGTGGAAGCAGCTAGATGGCAGGATACATATCACACACATACACACAAAACACACACATACATTCACAGAGATTCTGTTACTAGGGTGGATGCCAGTGGGACAGCCAGCACAGAGCAAGTTCCAAACCTTCCCCCAGCAACTACTCTATAACCTCTGCCAAGCCTCACAAACTGGCAATACTCTGCCTCTGCCAAAACCCAACTTCACTGGATCACACTGTGGAACAATATATGCTCCAAGCAGTTGAAAAGTAAAATAAATGAAAAGAAAAACTAAGCCAAGGGACTCAAAAGTAGATTTGAGCTGACAGAAGAACAACTCAGTAAATGTGAAGACAGATTATGCAACCTCAAGAACAATGAGCAAAAACAGTGACAAAAAAATGAACAAAGGGACACCATTAAGCTCACCAACATACATATAATGTGAAAACCAGAACAGGAATGCAACGAAATAAAAACATTAAAAATGTTCAGAGAACTTACCTACAATCCCAGCAATTCAGAAGCTGAGATAGGAAGAGCCCAAATTCAAGGCCATGTAGCTCATCGATAAAGCACCCCTGGGTTCAATCCCCAGTACCAAAAACCAACAAAAGAGAGTTCAAAGAAATGATGGCTAAAAAGTTTCCGTATCTGATGAAAAACACTTATCTTTGCATCCAGTATCAATGACTTCAAGTAAGATAAACACATCCAGATGCACACCTAAACATATCACAGTCAAAATCTTGAAAGTCAAAGACAAAAATAAAATTTTGTAAACAAGAGGAAAAACAACACATCACTTACAAAGAGATTCTAATACAATTAACATATGACTTCACATCAAAAACAACAGAGGCTAGTAAGCAATGGGAACACATTTCCATGTGCTGAAAGAAAAAAAAAAAAACCTCAACCAGTAATCTCATATCCAGCAAAACCTTTCAAAAATTAAGGCAAAACAGACATTCCTAAATAAACAAAACCTGAGAATCCTTAGTAGAAGACTCTCTATACCAGAAATACTAAAAGAAGTCCTTGAGGCAAAAAGCAAGTGTCACCAGCAAATGTCAAATCCACACAGAGCATTACTGAACAGGTTATTATGTGGGTAATCATAAGATGAAGTACAGAAGCACATTTCCTCTCCTTTCCCCTCTTAACTAAATTAAAGAGCAACTGCGTAAAACATGTTAGGCTATAACATACAGAAAACTAATATGTATGACAATGAAAGCACAAAGGAAGTGGGTGAAAAATGGCACCAGACAGTAACACAGAGAAATGATGAGAATCAGAAATATTAAATAAGAAGGTTAATATAGCAAACTCTTAAATATATGCTAGTCCCACTTTCTCTCAGAAAATTTTAAATAAGATCATATAAAGTATAATTATAACAACATATTATTCAGTTTGTTGTATGTGCATATGTGTATTAATTGCGTAACACCAGCATAAAAAGGAAAGAAAGAAAAAAGAAGTCATTGACACTGTATGTAGAAGTAAAGGTTCTATGTATCATTGAGAAGTTAGTAATAATTTGAGGTAGATTCTAGTAAGATAAATATAATGAGTCCTAGAGAAACTGCTAGGTAAAAAAAATAAAATATATATAGTTTATTAAAGGAATTAAAATATGATGCTAAAAAATATGTATAGCTTAATATAAAAGGAGGTAATAAAGGAGAAATAGTTTTATAAAGAGCCAGAGGTAAAAACCATAAATAGTAACAATAAGTATAAATGGGTTAACAATCCAATAAAAAGGCATAAACGTTCAGGCATGATTTATTTTTTAAAAAATTCTAGTGATATGCTGCCTACAGAAGACACGCTGGATTCAAAGGTATGAAAGGACGGAAGTAAAAAGATGGAAAAAAGTATACCAGGCAAACAGCAACTAAAATATTATCTATAAAGAGGGACATTTTATAACAATAAGAAGGTCAATCCATCAGGAAGATATAACAATTATAAATACATACACAAATAACCACAGATTCCCAAAATGTATGAAGCAAATATCACATTCTCTTTTTTTTGTCTCAGGTCCCACTAAAAACAACAGATTCATTTTCCCTATCTACATATAACCTTGCCTACCACTCACCAACTATACAATCTTACGATTAGTTTTACAGTTCTTCATTTCACACTGAATTTCTTAAGGTTAAGAATCATACCATAGTGCTTAGTATTTAATTCTACATTAAGCTGAGATAACTTCATTATTTGGGGGATTTAAATTCAGAATTAAGAATCGTCTCTTGCCAGGCTCGGTGACACCTAGCTACTTGGGAAGCTAAGGCAGGAAGGAAGACTCCAAGTTTGAGACCAGCCTGGGCACTTAGAAACTCTGTCACAAAATAAAAAATGGAAAGGGCTGGGAGGATAGCTCAGCTTTCAATTGCCCCTGGGTTCAATCTCTAGTATCACCAAAAAAAAAAAAAAAAAAAAAAAAAACTTTCTCTTATTCTACCACATGTTCACATGATGCAAAAAGTACATGATAAAGGGGCTAAGGCTGTAGCTCAGCAGTAAAGCGCTTGCCTCGCATGTGTGAGGCACTGTGTTCGATCCTCAGCATCACATAAAAATAAAGATACTGTATATTCATCTACAACTAAATAAATATTTTTTAAAAATGTACATGATAAAAATTTTTAAAACATTCCCTAAACAAAGGAGACTTATATAAGCAAAAATACCATGAGTATACCAGCAGCTCCAGATTCTTTAATTTTGCTTTCAATTCCAACCTGTCTTAAGTTAATTTTGATGGTTAAGTCTGTGTAAGATTATCTTTTTCTTTTTAATATTTTTTTAGTTGTTGATGGACTTTTATTGTATTTATATGTGGTGCTGAGAATCGAACCCAGTGCCTCCCACATGCTAGACAAGCACTCTACCACTTAGCTACAGCCCTAGCCCCAACATTATCTTATTTTCATAACAGTGGCATTTAATCTATTCTCAAGTACTGTGTAAATTTTAGTCAGAATTTTAACAGAAGAGATCTCATTTCCCCCTATCAATTAACTGGTGCCACTTGCTCTTCTTACTCTATACACAAAACAAACATAGGTTTCACCTTTAATTTCATAGCATTAAGAAAATCCCAAGGATTGGGGATGTACCTCAGTGGAATCAGGTGGTATCACAGAAAAGTCAAAGGTTTCTAGAAATGTTCCAGTATGCCTATATTGATAACCAAGTAGGCCTACTCTGGTATTCAAAAATTCAAAATGTCTTCCCTGCAGTGAACTAGGATCAGTTTTTTTCCACTTGAAGAAAGGTCCTGGGGCAACATGTGTCTAAATTGATTGCAATAATTCATGAGACTAAAGAGAGTGACTAAACAACCATGCTCTGATGAAGTTCAAGGTGGCTTGAAATTTCTCTAAAGCTACATTTTATATTTAAAGGTCACATAAATGTTGGTTTTGAATTTTTTAATATGAAAAATATATTTTTCTTTTTTTTTTTTTTTTGAGAGAGAGAGAGAGAGAGAATTTTTTAATATTTATTTTTCAGTTTTCGGTGGACACAACATCTCCATTTTATCTCTATGTGGTGCTGAGGATCAAACCCAGCACCCCACGCATGCCAGGCAAGCACGTTACCGCTTGAGCCACATCCCCAGCCCCAAATATATTTTTCAAAAATATTTTTTAAGTAAACTTGATAGTCCAGGAAGACATTTTTTTTTTTTTTTAATCCTACAGCTAGTAAGTTTTCTGAAAAACATACCATGTCACTTTGAAGGAACAAGTAACCCCAGTCAAGAAACAGTCTCAGGTAACCATCAAGCACGGCTCAGGATCAAGGTTAACCAAAACTCAACTCTGATCCCTGTTGTCACAGCAAAAAAGAAAAGAAAAAATCCAGAGCCTTCTGGATTTTAAGCCCTGTTTGCCACTCTGGTCAGCCCTCCCACCCCACCCCCTACCATGCTACCATGGCTAATTTCTAGGCCAGCGATTTCCAATGTGAATGTAAGACCAACAAAGGAGATCCCAAGTTGTTTTAAATAATACCAATATTTAAAGAAAATGCCCAAAAAGGAAGAGAGAAAAAAAATATTTAAAGAAAAAGTTTACCCTTTCCTAAATTTACCGTTTCCTAAGTAAATTTAAATTTACAAATTCCTAAATAAAAATGTCAAGTTTCTTGGCTTTGGATTATGGTTTTATCAAGCAAGTACTGATGATATTCTTGTGTAGACTTCTAAATACAAGTCTCTGATCAGTTTTTAGAGGGAAATTAATTACTATTACATAATAGAAGCCATTTCTTTGTAAATAAAGTAAGTAAAGCATGAGATCCAAAGGCAGTAGACATCAGAATTCCCCTAATGAAAATCACCCCATTCTCGTCTCCTTCGGGATTCTTGAAGTCCCTAAAGAACTGTCTTGTGACAGCCAGAACCTTAACCACAAAGTTTCTGGCCTCCTAGCTCCAAAAGTCTTCACGGGGTTTGTCTGCTGCCTCACCTGACCCCTCATATTACTGGCTTTCTCTCTAAAAGCCAGTATCTGGAAGAAAACTAAATTGGAGCCCATGATGAGATAGAAATGTCATTATCTGCAACTGTGTGATCTCTTTTAAGCACAGGATTCTGCTATTCAAGTCAAACTCATTAAAAATGATAACTCCTTTGATTATGCACTATAAAGTTTAATCAGTCTATCTTATGAGAATAATATTGGCTTTTTAAAAAATGAAATCATGCGTTTTATGTTTTACCACTGAAACAAAAAGTAAACCAAAGTGTTCGTTTCCAGTAGGAGATTCATCTTAATAAATCAATGCATAAGGACAGGATAAGTTTTACACACTATGAAACAAATGCACATCAACGAAAATGTTATATAAATACTCAACAAAACCAGACCATGTAAATGAAGAAAGGTTAATCTGCAAAAAGAACTAAAGTACCTCTGCATTGTTATAATATGCTGTGCTATTTTTTTCTTGCACATCTTCCCCTCGGGCTGTAAAAAATGTTAGTGGGTAGAAATCCTTGTGTGCTGGTTGCTTTCCACTGGCCATCAGTTTACCCTCATAGAAAAGCTCAGAGGTATAACTACAGAGAAAGAAAAGAAAAAGAGAGTAATAAATCATCAAAATTAATTTAAACCGCCACACCCCACCACCACCACCACACACACAAATCAGTCATTTCTAGTAACACTGCTTTCTGCCAGTGGTTAATTTTAGTATCAACACTGAATACCTATGATGCTGATAATTTCTCCAAATATAACCACAGCAAAAACAATAGAGAAAGCTCCAGGTGTACCACTGTTCAATGGATTGATTTGGGCAAGGTACAAAAGAATAGAGAGAAAAGGAAGAAATGATGACAGTACGATACTAGTTGAAATCTTTGTTCTAGGAGAAAATTTGTTAACTAGCATGTTTTCTTGATTGGTACATACTTCACCCTTTGTGGGTCATACAACTATCCAGTCATGTGTCACTCAATGATGGGCCCCATATTTTATAGTAGTCCCATAAGATTTAATGGAACTGAAAAATTACCATCGCAGCCAACAACAGCATTGGAACCCAACGTGTTACCATGTGTTTTTGGTGATGCTGGTGTAAACAAACCTATTTTGTGCTTCCAGTTGTAAAACATAAATTTTTCTTAAAGAAAGCCTAGCAGCACATACATTATGTACAGCACATCATACTTGACAATGATAATGTGACTAGATTACTGATTTATGTAACAATGATGTTTTTATCATTATTCTAGAGTGTACTGCTCCTATTTATTTAAAAAAAAAAAAAAAAGTATGCCATGTCTATGCATGGCAAGCATGATGACATGAACCTGTAATCCCAGCAATTTTGAAGGCTCAGGCAGGAGGATCCTGACTTCCAGAACAGCCCAGAAACTTGGCAAGACCCTAAGCAACTTAGTGAAACCCTGTCTCAAAAATTTTTTAGAAAAGAGCTGGGGATATATGCGCCCCTGGGTTCAATCCTCGATACCAAAAAATAAAAATAAAAAATAGAATTTGTGTATAACACAGCCAGAGACAGATAAACTACTATATATGGTTTGTCAGTATATTTCTTTATTACAACATGCAGTTTTTCCATATAGATTATAGATTTAGTCACTGAAAAATATGTCAGAACTAGCAGAACCTCAATTTTTAGTTCCCAGAGGTGGCTTTTTGGGGGGGAAAAAATCATAACTTTGACTTTTGAAGTGATCTTTTTAAAATATAAAATTAAACAGAACTTACAACACTAGGAACACCACATAATCTTTTGGGAATAACTGCAATCACCTGTCCCTAGTAATATGCTGATCTGAGTACCCCTCAAAAAGACAGCAAAAAGTGAGAATCAGAGAGGGCAGTTCACACCTACTTGATGATAGCTTCATGGGACCGGTAGTTCTCACACAGGAGGATCCTACATGGAAACTCTGCAGGGTAATGCTCATAGAGTCGATCAAGTAATGAAACATGAAGGTTTCTTTCCCTGGCAAATTCGCTGTAAACAAAAGGACTGAGCTGTAACAGACAAACATACAGAGAAAATTTAACTAAATATACAATTAGCATTCTTTAACTTGCTTATAAACACTGTGCTAAAATTTCTGATATATTAAACCCCAACATGCTAAAAGAAATAACATACAAAATCGGTTGACATTTTCTATGAACCCTTTTATTATTATAAGGAACTAGGCCAAAATTTCTAATTCTTCATTGTGGTATGCAACACAAACCTAGAGTTTCCATACATGAATTAATAAAAATCTTCTCCGGGGCTGGGGTTGTGGCTCAGTGGTAGAGCGTTGCCTAGCATGTATGAGGCACTGGGTTTGATTCTCAGCACTACATATAAGTAAATGGATAAACTAAAGTCCATCAACAACTAAAAAAAAAAAAAATTTTTTTTAAAGATCTTCTCCAATAATATAATAAATGATGACTACTTCAGTAACTTTAGGGACGCAACCCATAGTATCACTGGGGGAGTCACATTAGTTATCTCACCAAAACTGATCAATCATTTTAAGTGATGAGCTGGTAAGACATACAGATCATGACTAAAATTATTTTTAATTATTAACAAAACAACCCCCTTTCCTTTTTCTGGGAAAAAAACAATTGCATATGCTAGGCAATGGTCCTAGCACTAAGCTATATCCCCAGCTCTTTCTTTTTTTAATTTTGAAATAGGGACAAGGTTAGCTGCCTGAGCTGGCCTCAAACTTTTGATCTTCCTGCCTCAGCCTCCTGAGCAGCTGGGATTATAGGCACGATATCTAAATCAAAACAATACTCTTAGCCTCATAACGTACAAGGAGTGATTCTAGGTAATACTTTTTATTGCTAAAGAACAAAATTAAACTACTTTGCACAAAGGAACAAAAACAAAATTTGCTTCTTCATAAGAACCTCCTCTCTGAGTGTCCTGACAGCTCTAACACTATGCAGGTATAATCTGAATCAGCTGTGGTAAAAGAGTTGCCAAATGGCAACTTCGCAAAATAGAGATCTTAATAGAAAAAAACTGTTTCTTTCTCATGAATAGGTATGCAAATACATAAAATGTGATATATTCTTTGACATTTTGACTATAATTTTAATTAAGCCCTTTGTTTTTTATGATATAAAAAATTAATCCTTCACAAAACCACATATTAGAGACAGAAATTGGGGAATTTTAAGATGGATCATTTAAATTCTGTAAAAAAAGTAAAAGGCTGGGGTGTAACTCAGAGGTGGAGCCTGAGTTCAATCTCCAACATCATGCCAAAAATGAGTAAGAATCAAACATTAATTATATAAAGAAATAAGCTTCAAAATAATAAATGTTAAAATAAAATCAACATTGATAAGACTCTTATTATTTATTCTAAATTGTCTAAACAAAGAAGAAAAAATTGGGAGCAGTAATTTTCCTTCAGAAATATCAGCATTTTTCACCATTAGTATAAAAATACTTAAGGGCTGGGGTTGTGGCTCAGTGGTTTGCCTAGCACGTGTGAGGCCCTGGGTTCGATTCTCAGCTAAAGAAAGAAAGAATGAATAAAAGAACAAATGAAAGAACGAAAAAAAGAAAAATCCACTGACAACTAAAAACATTAAAATAAAAATACTTAGAAGTACTTAATCTGCAATACCTGTCACAATTTCATAAGGTGTTTTAGAAATAGAATGTTAAACATCAAAATATAATTAAAAGTTATTTTCAGTATGCTTGATGACTAAGAGAGCAGGTACCTGCATGTGATCACCAGCCAAAACAATCCGGGTACTTTTAGTTGCTAATGCTAGAGGCATGATGGTTTCACACTCCATGGCCTGGGCAGCTTCATCTAGCAGAATGTGCGTAAAAAACCCTGGAAACACAGAGCAAACACAGCAAAGTATATTATGGCAACAACAGAGGTAGAAATCACTTGTTTTCTGCTAAGTAAAGAGTTTAGCTTGTTAACCTAGAAGTGTGAATACTTTTTTTAAAATATTTTTTTAGTTGTTAATGGACCTTTATTTATATGCGGTGCTCAGAGGATTGAACCCAGTGCCGCATACATGCTAGGCAAGCGCTATATTACTGAGCCACAACCCCAGACCAAGTGTGAATATTTTTAAGAACTATCCTCAATTTAGATAATCATCTATTAAAATCATCACTTAAAAAATAAGAGTTTAAAAAGAATGACTCAGTAATGTATATGTAAACACTTGCATCTGGCTCAAAGACTGTTAAATCAGTATATATAGAAAAGATTTTAAAAGTTCAAGATAGTGTCTTTTGACTGAAAGAAAGGAGACTAAACAACTGACAGCCCCAAAGCTCTTCCACAATTTATTTGCCAAAAACACCAAAAATAAAATAATGGTAGTTCTTAAGTAATGTTACCCTAAACATAAACAAACATTAAAGAAAAACGTACTCAAATCTAATATAAAGGAGAAAGTTGTGAAAATCATTCAAATCTAACATTATAACTTACCTTACCTTAGACTAAAAACAATGAGAATCTTATTAGCAAATTTACTAATTTGAGTATTTAGGTTTACTTTTCATACATAATCAAGTGTCATTTAATAACAGGGATGTGTTCCAAGAAATGTAACATTAGGCAATTCTGTCATTCTATGAACGTCATAGAGTGTGCTTACATTAATCTAGATGGTATAGCCTGCTATACATCTAGACGATATGAATCTGTGAGAGAGAGTGTATGTGTGTGTGTTGTGTGTTATGTAGTCTTTTGCTCCTAGGTCTGTGATGAACAAAACAAGATCAAACCAACCAAGTGAAAATAATATAATCAATAGATGCAATAAACATGAGATGGATGAGTAAACATTTTTGTGTAGGCCAGGAGTACACATTAAAATAACAATAGTGTGGGCTGGGGTTGTGGCTCAGCGGTAGAGCGCTTGCCTCGCACGTGTGAGTCCCTGGGTTTGATCCTCAACACCACATAAAAATAAATAAGTATAATAAAAGTATTGTGTCCAACTACAACTAAAAAATAAATATTAAAAAAATAATATCAATAGTGTCTGTAGTCTCAGTTACTCAGGAGACTGAGGCAGGATGATCACTTGAGACCAGCAATTAAACCCAGTCTGTATAACACAGCAAGACCCCATCTCAAAAATAAAAGTATAGTAACCACATAAACCAGGAACCCACTTGTCCATTACCATTACTAAGTATTGTGCACAGTACATAACTGTACATACTACACTTTTATACAACTGGCAGTACAGTAGATCTTTTTCTACCAGCATCACCAAAAACATGTGAGTAAATGTGTTACCCTACAATTTTACAATGACTATGATGTCACCAGGCAATGGAATTTTTCAACTCTGCTAAGACTCTCATGGACCACCATCACATAGTCAGTCCGTGCTTGACTGAAACATCATTGTGTGGTGTACGACTCTCTCTAAAATATGTATAATTTTTTCGCCTAAGACCTTAGCCTGGTTTAAAACAAATCACCACTCTGAAAATACAGGTCTGATAACAAGTGTTAAAAATACACACTATCACCAGATGCAGTGGGGCATGCCTATAATCCCAGCAACTCAGGAGGCTGAGGCAGGAAGACTGCAAGTTTGAAGCCAGCCTCAGCAGCCTGGCAACTTTCTAAGCAATTTAGTAAGACTCTGACTCAAAAGATATAATAAAGAAGGATGGGGATGCAGCTCAGTAGTAAAGCATCCCTGGGTTCAATCCCCAGTTACCAACCCTGTAAAAAAGTACATTATCTGGGGCTGGCTTGTGGCTCAGCAGTAGAGCATTCGCCTCGCACATGCAAGACCCTGGGTTTGGATCCTCAGCACCACATAAAAATAAATAAGTGAAATAAAAGTATTGTGTCCAACTACAACTAAAAAATATTTTTTTAAAGTACATTATCTAATGTTCTCCAGATAAAACGCCTACAGTAGGAGGCATCCCATGTCTTGGTTGCTGTTGCCATTCACACTATGGCAGACAGTTATGTATGTAGGAAGGAGGAAAAAATTCCTTTGCCTCTAAGAGTGGAGAAAGAGGCAAAACCCTCCTTGCTGACTGAATAAAGAAGTCCTCCCACCATACTACCAACTCACTGGGTAGGAAGGGGGCTCTCTCCTTTTTAGGAGCATAGCAAAGGACAGAAAGTAGTTTCCCACAGAATGAAAGTGATAAGTCTATAGAGGCCAGGGGCAGAATGGATTAACCAGCCTCCTGTGAGTTAGCTAAAAAACCTATTTCTATAAATATCAAGAATTCCAAACAATTGGTTTATACAATTTTCTAGACAACTTGTTTTTAGGTTAGGAACTTTCTAAATCTTACTGGTTGGCAGTACTAACCATTATCATCACCCATTCAAACAAATGACTATGAGTGACAACAAAAGTATCTCTAACTATAATCTATTTATCAATAGTGGCCTAAGCATGACATGGCCACATGCATTTTTCTTCCTGTTGAGAATTCATGCTTTTATTCTAAAGGATTAAGAAAAACAACTATAAAACATGGGATCAAACTGGAAAAACTGAGACTAGTGAAAAAAATTCATTTTCATTAGGTAACAATAGAGTGAGGCTTCCGTCAGGAACTGAATAAATCATAAAAAATATTCACTACTGATTAAGCTAGAAAAAGTAACTTGAATTGATCAAACTGAATTACTTTAAGTCTTATTTTCTCATCTGTAAAATCATCCTCAAAAGGGTCAATATGAGAACTGAATGAAATGAAGTATTAACAACATTCACAACAAAGGACCCAGTCACCTTCCAACAGAGATGATCCTACACTCTAGGTCTCCAAAGCTATTCTTCACTCTTTCTCACAAAACAATACTGTTTAGGAGGCTTAGATATTTATCTACATAGCAAATATGTGGAATATGATCATAAAGTAGCAAACTGATTGTTAAATAAACATACTAAAATTTACATTTCAATTAAGTGTTGTTGCAGTCAAAGAAGTCCCTTGGGAAGACATATAACTCATTCCAATGATACTGCCACTATTCAAAACATTTTGAACCTCCGCTTTTGTAACTGCCCTCACCAGCTAGCTATGAGCTACACACACAGAAAGTAAGTCTCATTACCTGAGCAGCACATCTGTTTTCTTTTTTTTCTCTCTAATGGCATTGCCCAGTTTAATCATCTATTTTATTCATTATATACATCTCAGAAAGATTTAAGCTTTTCTAAAATTAAATCTATACTCAATAACTTTTGTTTTTTTTTTAAAGGTTGGCCACCATTCCTTCATTTAAGATATATAGGGCTTCCAGGTATCTATACTCTAGGCTAGGTGCCAGGAATAGAAGGTGAAGAGAACAGTCTCTCCTTCCAGGGACTCTGATGTTCAAAAGAATTCATCTCTGGCTCTGAAAGCAATTCCAAAAGGAGAAGATAAAAAATTTTGATCAATGTCAACAATTATAATGTGACAGTAATAAATGAGCATCCTTTTAAAGCATCTGAAGTAATACTACTTTGTTCCACCATATTATCACAACAACCTATTATCTTCTATCTATCCCTGTGTAATATTAGATTGATTTTACATAGCTCCAGTATAGAAATGTAATAGTATGACATTAAAAAAATCCTATAATGCTTGCTGTCTCTACAATGCAAAAGCAATTTAACACAAAAACTTGAGAAAATTGTAAAAAACAACAAACAAACAAAAAAACACCAACAATGTCCAAATTTGAATTCTTCATGTGCTTATAAGTAACTACCACCTGACCAATGGAATAACAGTCATAAAAATGTCTAGGGTTTGGATAATTTTTTCAGTATAGCGCACACAGTGTGTATCTTAGATTGTGGGCCACAGTCTCTGTTGCAACTACTCAACTGAGGTGTTGTGGCACAAAAGCATCTATAGAAAGCAAACAGGCAACTAAATGGGCACCGGTGGCTGTGTTCCATCTAGTAAAATTTTATTTCAAACACAGGCAGCAAGTCAGATTTGGCTCATGGGCTACAGACTGAATACACAAGCCCTAACCCTGTGAGATACCCTATATTGCCGCAGAAGTCAGCATACCAGGTTCAAGGTCCAACTGACAGAGGTACTGGGAAGTATTCAATGTAACCACCACCACTCGATGTTTAAGAATATCTTCTTTCTGTGGCATCTGAAAGGTGGAATGTGCGCTTGAGATCAAACAGTACTGATGCACAACTGGGTGGACAGTCTTTACCCAGCGATTTCGGAAATAAACCCTGTAAAAAAAGATAATATTTCTGATACACATTTATCAACATCTTAACAGTACCTGATTACTAAAATTATTGACACCATTATTTTCCAATTTCTGGAAATTAACAAGTAAAATTTCATGACTGTTAATTAACACTCCACTGTACTAGAATTTAACATAAAACTGCTACTATATCTACTGTGATGTCTCCCATTTAAAAAAAGGAAAAGAAAAGATATAAACAGAAAGCATAAGTGCTACCACAAAATAAATACCTAATGAATTTTAAGAGTTCAGATTAATCTCAACAAAATGACAAACAAGTTTTATACATGCATATGGGTTTTTAATTAAATTCAAAATCGTTCTACTATGGAATTACTTTTTCTAGAATATTCTTACAAAAATACACTGAACTCATATTTTAGAATATGAAACTACACACTTATAACACAAATTAAAGTTATTTGCATTTTACTTTAGAAAACTTCTTATACCTATATCTAAATAGACCTCTGTCTGAGATTCTGGACATTTTAAAACAAATTTAAATTCTTAACAATCAAAAGAATGCAAACTTTAAGAAAGTGCATCTCTTCCATTAATTGCAAAAGAAAAATATTAATAGGTTTCATGCTACAGATTACTAAAATGCTACAGAAAAGACTCATCCATCCATCCACCCATCCAACTCTCACTCCCCCAACATAACAAAGACCAGGCATCTACTAAGCTATAGTACAGGAACAGATCACACAGGGGTTGGGAGTAATCATAAAGGCTCTGGATTTAGCCTGAGTTTAATGAAAAGCCTTCAGAATTTGACAGGACAGGGGCTGAGGTTGTGGCTCAATGGTAGAGCGTTTGCCTAGCACATGTGAGACACTGGGTTTGATCCTCAGCAGTACATAAAAATAAATAAATAAAATAAAGGTATTGTGTCCAGCAATGATTTTTTTTAATTTTTTTAAAGAAAAAGAATTTGACAGGACAATCACACAACATGATTTATGTTGCTAGAGGACTTATGTTGCTCTGTTTCTCTGGGCAGAATATGTTGCAGGGGAGGACCAGACAATGGTATGCTGGGGAGGAGGGACTGATTTGTAGTGTTTGCAAATTTCCCTGGTGTAAAAACTATTACCATGGCCAATTTCAAGTTAGTAGTACATGTCACTGAACATGAACACGTGAGACATGCACATGATCAACTATCACAAGCCGGTACAATTTAACATCGACACGCCTCTGGGTGGGATGGAGGTAAGGGCAGTGAAATCAGGAGGTTGTTGAAAGGCATGGACAAGAGAAGATGGTGGCTTGGACCAGGATGGTAACAATGGAGATGTGAAAATGGTCAGATTCACTAGACACAGTAAGAGTAATGCCAACAGGGGCTAGCAATATAGCTCAGTGGTAGAACACTTGCTGAGTATTGTGCGGCTATGAGTTCAATCCCCAGTACCTCAAAAAAAAAAAAAAAAAAAGTCATGCCAATAGGATTTACTAATCAACTTGAGATTAAAATTTAAGAGAAAGAGCTTGACCTGGTAGCACACACCTGTAATCCCAGTGGCTTGGGAGGCTGAGGCAGGAAGATTGTGAGGTCAAAGCTAGCCTCAGCAATTTAGCAAGACCCTGTCTCTAAATAAAAATAAAAAAGAGCTGGGGATGTAGCTCAGTGGTGGAGTGCCCCTGCATTCAATCCCAGTATCAAAAAAATTAAGAGAAAGCCTGATTCCCTGGTTTGGAAACTGAATAAATAGTGGTAGTATTTACAAAGATGGTAAAAGAAACAGATTTGGGAGTTCAGTTTTGGACATATTGAGTAGACATCCAAGCAGAGATAACCAAAACACAGGATGATATATGTTTGGAGTTCAGGAGAATGCCTAGGTCAAGCAGTACGTATTGGGAGAATACAAAGTCTTAAGATGAGATATTATTACCTACAGAAGAGTAAATTTTAAAAAGAAAGAAAACTAGAGGAAGAATGAATGACGGAACACTCCTACATCTAGAGGCTGGGAAAAGGAGTAGCATAAAGTAAGGCAACTGGGAGAGGGCCGTCCTGAAACAGGGGAGAATTCAAGAGTGGTAGGGAGTATTAGATACAAAATGAACAAACTGTTTCAAGAGAGAAATAAAGAGTAACAGTGCCAAATGCTGCTAAGAGACTGAATAAAATAAGAATTGACCACAGGATTCAGAAACAAGGAAACCATTGGTAACCACAAAATAATGGTTTCAGATTAAAAGTAAAGATGGAAACTTGGATAACTTGGGCTCAAGACAAAGAGAACATAGGAAGTAGAGCCAGGGAATACAAATATTTATAAAAATTTTCAATAGAGGAATACAGATGAAGTCAAGGTAGTTTTCTAAACCAAAGGGCTGTATCAGTATGCATCTACTCTCATTTCCAAAATGGATCTAATAGCTCAACCTCTCAAGGATTTAGAGAAGTCATATATAATATGCAGCAGAATATCTGGCACCAACAAACAGAAGTCCTCCACTTCCCACAGCAAAGCTGACACTAAAAGCAGTATTGAATCTAGGGGCACTTTATCACTGAGCCACATCCCCAGCCCTTTTAATTTTTTATTTTAAGACAGTCTCATTGAGTTGCTTAGGGCCTCACTGAGGCTGGCCTCACACTTGCAATCCTCCTAACTCAGCCTCCTGAGCACCTGGGATTATAAGCAAGCACCACCATGCCCAGCATCGAAACCAGCATTTCTAATACTCAGTTAATATTCAATTTACATCACACAAATGTAAAAGGTGACACAATGGCATGAATACAAGCAATTAAAACCAGTCTCAACTTCTACAATCTGTTCTCAAGCTCTGTGAAACACGTAACACAGGGTTTTCTTTTTTATTGTAAACAAAGGAAAAAGCTTATTTAATAAATGTCTCAATATAAATTATAATTGAGGTATAAGATATTTTAAAAACACTATGGTGATAAGAATTGTAAACTTGGTCAAAGTTTAGAATTACCACTTCTAAAAGAGACAAAACTTTCAAATATATTTTACATTTTAATAAAACAAGTTTAATCAGATCAGCAAAGCAAATTTACTTTTAAATAATACCTCATTTTACAAATTGTCTATGATTCTATTCACATTAACCCCAGTAAATGTAATTAAGCATAGAAACAATTAGGACTTAACTCCAAAGTGTTAGCAGTGAGTGTTTATTTCTGGATACTGAGGCTATATATAATGTTGACTTTCTTCTTTGTGCTTATTTACTTCAATAAATATTTCATTATAAAATAGAAAAGAATGGTTTTTCAAATTACTTATCAACTAACTCCAGGAACCTGATTCTTCTTCTTCAAAGGAAAAAAAAAAAAGAAAACCTGAAGTTCTAAATATCATTACTGACTTTTTCACATTACTTGGAAAGTTACCTCAAGTAAGAATAAGAAAGTAAGCCATAAGAATTCAAAGCTTGATCTCTTGACTATTTTATTAAAAGTACAACACTAGTGCTCACTTTCAAAAGATTTAAATATTTTCTCTGTATTGTCATTTCATGCAACATTTAATGAGACAGATACTTTCAGTAAGATTATTTAAAACACACCTAACATTTTTCAAAATCTGAGAATTGATAGTAAAAAGTGACACTTAAGGGGCTGGGGTTGTGGCTCAGTGGTAGAGCACTTGCCTGGCATACATGAGGCACTGGGTTCAATTCTCAGCACCACATATAAATGCATAAATAAAATAAAGTCCATTGCCATCTTAAAAAAAAGTGACACTTAAGTTCACAGTGTAAAATATAAGCTGGGGATGTAGCACAGTGGAAAGAGTGCTTGCTTAGCATGTGCAAAACCCTGGGTCCTTTCCTAGCACCTAGGGTAGGGCAGGGCTGGGGGAGGGTATAAGGCTGTACGTTGGCAGGAGCCAGAATTCCAGTTACTACGGAGTCTGAGGCAGAATGATTCCAAGGTTGAGGGCAGTCTGGGCAATTCGGCAAGATTCTGTCTCAAAATAAAAAGAGCTGGGAGTATGGCTGGGGTTGTGGCTCAGCAGTACAGTGCTTGCCTCACACGTGTGAGGCCATGGGTTCATCCTCAGCACCACATAAAACATAAATAAAATAAATGTCTTAAAAAAAGGAATATACTCTTTTAAAATAAATAAGTAAATAGAAAGAGCTGGGAGTATAGCTCAGTGGTAGATCACCCCTAGGTTCAATACCCAGTACCCACCCCCCCAAAAAGTTCAAAGTACTTAATTGACTCCAATTACGTAATTTACATATTTTCTAGAAACAAAACAACCCAAATATCCCACAGGATTTATAATGATTCTTAAAATAGGACATAGTTTGGTAATTATAATTCACTGCAATCTTATTCATGTATTGAATTCATATGCAATAATGAGCTCCTGAAATGATATTAGTTAAGATACTAAGAATCAGAACTTGATACCAGAAGAAAATTACATCTTTAAAGATCTTTCTACAACAATAAATTTTTCCAGTTTGCCCAATAATCGGTCAATCTCCAAAGAGGGCCTCTCCCTGCTAAATGGACTATAGGGAAAGCAGTTTGTTTCTGTGCATGATCCTCAGAAACATGCACAGAAACAAACTGCTTTCTCCCCTATAGTCCATTTTTAAATCTTTTAATTCTGAATAAAGTAAAAAGTAAAAATAAATGTATTCTAAAATGATTTCTAAAACCTCCACTCCCAATATCTGGAGCTCAGCTCAACTCCTGGCAACTAAGAGAATTTTATAAATTTGAATCACATGTAGTATATTTAAACCTACTAACTAGTGCTATTTACTCTAGCTAGTCTCACACTATCAAGTTTCCTGGGCTGGGACTCTAAAGTACTGTCAAAAGACAGCAAACCTTCACTCCCTGAAGACATCCCTCTCCTTCATGACCAGAGCAGACACTTGGTGCCCTCTTGTGTTCCTTCCCCTGCAGCCTGGGATCATGTGGAGAAAGCTGATCCCAGAGCAGTTAGTCACTCTAATTTTCCCTACTGGTGCTAATAAATCCTAACAAGTATTTCTTAGGAAATACATTTACAAGTCAATACATTACCCAAAGAGGAAAACAGAGTGGAAAATGTAGGTTTATATGAAGAAAGTATGCAGGGAAGTCAGGGGTTTTTTCTCATTTAATTCAATTTTCTAAATGAAATCATATGCATTTGAACATACTTTTTCATCTTGGACTGAATTAGTCTCAAAAGTGAGAACAGGGAGACCTCTTTCTAACAGGTAAATTTCTATATTTGGGCCACTACAACCATACAACCATAAGAATATAACTTCTTACTCTACACATTTAGAGGCACTATATCTTGGATTATAACCTCCAAAAAAATAATTTTAAACAGAAAAAGCTAAGTACAACTTTCAAAATGATAAATTTTACTTTCATCAATAGCGCTACCACAACAAATAGCAAGTGAAATATGCTAAGTCCACCAAGATTTGAGCAGGCTTTACGCTACTGTTTCCAAATCAAGCACAATGGTAAATGAGATTGCCACATTTCCCACACAACACACACACAAAAACACACAAACACATGCTCTATCAATGATAAAAGCAAAGAAAACAATTTATCAACATGAGAGTGAAAACATTTATGGCAAAAATGCTAGCTATTCAACTTTCACTCAAATCTGAGCAAGATTAGATTCTGAAGCAAAGTAATTATTGGTGAATTTACCCTTGAATAAATACCATATTTTCACTTACAATTGTTTACATATGATATTTTCTTATTAAATACAACTACATTCTAGGTAAAATAACTATTCCTGCTTTATCTTCTACACTAAAAACATAGCAAAAAAAAAAAAAATCTATTAACAGGCCACATCACTTTTCTCTCTCTCTCTCTCTTTTTTTTTAAATGCAATTCTAAAATAATTTAAATGGTTTTAGCTATGGTTATTAAAGAAGTAAATTGAATAATTTCATTTTTCCATGCCTGGGATCAACTAGAAATAAAAAGTTAAGTGAATTATGAATCAAAAGTGTGTGGTTAGAAATTAATTTATAAACAAGAATTAATAGTAATTTGAATAACCTAGGCCATGATATATTAGTTGATAAAATGGCAAACTAAACATTAACTTCATATAGCAATGAAAACAAATGGTATAATACATAATCATTTAATGATTCTTTATTGTTTTCTGAAGAAAAGGATTTTTATTCCCCCACAATCCTGTATTTAAGTACACTTCATGTCTACAAATACTCACAGGACCTTTCTATGTCAACTTAAAATTTTCTTTGACATTGTGTCTTTTAAACAGTAGCAAAAAATTGTGAATTCTAGTCAATTACATTTTGTTGTAGAAAGCATTTCAGTATTTCATGCTTCTCTAATATGTAGCTTCCACGAAATTACCAGCATGATAACAGTCAAATGTTTATTTCCATAAAGCTGAAACTGCATGACTACTCTGCCACACTAAATGTGCTAGAATGTAAATTAAACTTGATTTTAATTTATCATATTTATTATTTTATCATACCAGCTTTTAGAGGTACATATCAAAATTTACTCAGGTTGTAACATTTTTTACACACAAAACTTAAAAAAGGATGTCTTTCTCTATAGTTAATAAATGGTTAAAGATTTTTTTACATTTTGTCTTATTTTAAATTAATTATTCAAAAGACAACCTCCAAATGCCAATACATAATTAAAGATTTTGGTATATCCAAAGTTACTAAAATCTTTGCAGACACCTTTTCTTAAGAATAACAAAGTATGATACAGATACATAATAAGCCTTAAAAAATACCTGAGAGGTCTTGCCTGGGGATTGCCTGCTTCTACATATGGATGTAAATAATCCTTTATGTAGAGATCAGCAGCACTATTAGAATGGGTGCAAATGAGAATCCTGCTGAAATAAATGGTGCAAATAAAAAGAATGATAAAACACAAAACTATTCAAGCAGTATAATACCAAAAAAAAAAGCAGTGGCCATCTTAATAGCATACATTTCTGCCAACCTACTCAGTGCTCTCTAACATTATTATTTAATGACGCCTTTAGGAAACAACATTTTTCATTAAGCTACAAAGGAAGTTACCCAAAATTATATTAAAATCTATCATATAAATACGAAATTTTCTAAACCCAGCTCTTTGGGCTTTAACATATATTACAATTACTTGGCAGACTTCAAGTTTTGATGGCTATTTAAAAATTATCACTTTCTATATTACCAATTTTTAAAAACAGTGTTTCTAGAGAATTCAAATTTTAGTGCTTTGGGTTTAGTCTTTTTTCTGTTCTTTCAATTTTTAAGAGATAGGTGAAAACTGTCTTGCTGGCACTCATTTTGTATTTAAAATAAGAAGAAAGGAAGCGCCCTGCTCTTGAAATACTAGCATACATCCCAGCTGCTCACCTAGTCTCGTGCTGCTGCAGAATGTGCTTGACGGCCTGAGCTAGAGTGAATGTTTTGCCTGTCCCGTAGGGCCCAATGATGAGGACAGGTGGGAGCTGGATGGAAAGTGGAGTGGTAATAGCCAGAACAGCTTCTTTCTGTTTTGCATTTAGTCGAGGATCCAACTGTTCATCCCATTGTCTATGAAAAATAAAAATGTCATTTTAAATATATGCAACTTAGTAATGAATAGAATCTCACACAGAAGTATCCTGAATTTTACTGAACCACTAAAAACTACAAAAACAACAGCACCAATAACAACTAATGCTTGTTCTAAAACCACTTTTCAGGAAAATTACCCAACAGAGTCATTTAGAGTGTCTGCCCATGTAAGTCATAACTTTATCTTGTCCTATTCCAAACACAAAATTTTTTTGACAATTAATCCAAAGAAATCAAAGCACTTCTAGTCTAGTGGCTGCCAAGTTCATTAAGTAATAATGGCAATGTATCCGTTTGTGACAAAAAAGTGTCAGAATTTTTTTTTTTCTGAAAATAATAAAGTTGTTTCTTTGCATAGCAAATAAAATGCAAAACAGAAACTAAAATAATTTAAATTCTGATCCACTGAAAAGTCTCTCAAGGTTTCTAACAGGGAAAAAGAAAAGACTTTATGTCTCTGGTTAAGAGACAGCAGATTTTTTATAAAACCTTAACTTAGAAAATAGCATTTTTTTTTAAAAAATGGTACCAAAACCCAACAGTATGAAATATTTTCTTGTGTTTTCACATACAAATCACCCACATCTATCCTACTTTTCAGGGTTAAGAACACCTGCCACGTAGCACAGATGGCTGCTGTAATGAGATCTATCTTACTAGTGTCCCTTCTATAACTTGGCGAAGTTTTGAAGATTTAAATGAATAGCAGATGCTGAAACAGATCAAACCAAATGGAGAACCAACAGAATTCTTTCTCACAGTCACAACTGAAACACTAAATATCACAACAACTATGGCAAAAATGATAGGGATGTAAACCAAAATAGGAAGGGTGTGTAAAGAGATGCTTAGAAAATGTGCAAAGTGCCTGCAGAACAATCCTGAAATAGTAGAACAGAGTTTAGACAGGAAAATTCCCTCTGTGAGGCTACATTCAAAATCAGAAGCTAGGACATATGGAAAATCATCTTAACACTTCTAGTTTCTTAAAAAATTACAGTGAATGTTACATCGTGACAGGTAATCTCAAACCAAAAAAATTCTCTGTAAAGAAAATGTAGGAGCTCCAGTAGCACAACTAGTTAATGTGCAGAACTTACAAGAAAATATAAATCCTCAGAAAATAAACTGATCACGTGAACATGCCATCAGCCATTTTTCTGAACTACAAGATTTTTTAAGTTAAAACAATAACAAAGAAAAAAGACTGCTGAGCAGTGATGCTGAATTCCTTGGAAGCTATTTACTAAATTGCAAGCATTTTACTTCACAGTCCCTCTGTATTAACCAGCTTATTTACTCATAATTCTGCCAGTACCTAATAATATTCTATCTTCTATAAATGAAGAAATGGGTTTTAGGTGACCACTAAGTCCAGACCCAATATATGTGGCAGACCCTGTGGCATTAATGACTACCCCAAAACCATTCAAAGCACCCTTCTCTCCTGCCTTTCTCGGTTACTGGGCCTAGCCAGTTGTAATATTCCATTTCCTAGCTTCCTCTGCTGAATACCCAATTTTGGTGCAGGAATAAGTCCCTCAGACGGACTCTCATAGCCAATAAAGTAAAAACAAAGCCTCACTAATTATTTAGCTAGCTGACCATTCTAGGTACAGGTTTTTAAATTTTTTCCTTAAACTAGAAGAAAGTCCTTCTTGCTCCATTGCCTTCCTCCTTCAACTGGCTGGAAAGACAATGTAGTAAATAAGCATACAGCAGCCACAGGATAACCATGAGACTATAATAAGCATAAAGAAGAAAACCAGCTCACTTTATTGGCAGAGAGGAAAGGGTGACCTTGGTCCATGATGGCGCTGCTGAGCCCCTGCACTAACCTGGACCACCTATCTCTAGGCTTATAATTCAACATCTTTCACCACTTAGTTCAGAAAACCATTACTTGCATCCATGCCTGATCACTATGATTCTTTGATATCTGTCCCTCATGCTTCCTTCACATGTACATGGAGATGATACTTGCATAAGACAATTACTTTAAAGATCAAATGAGATAATGCATACATACATTTTTATAAATTAAAAATATTTACTTAAAGTTGTATGGAAACATAATTGAGCAATAGAAGTTTAATTTTAGTTTCTATTCCTATATTTCAGAAAAATGGTTAGGACACACATTTAAAAACAAAAACTTTAAAACATTGTAATCTTGCCAGGTACAGTGTGCATGCTCAAAATCCCAGAAACTTAGGAAGCTGAGGCAGGAGGCTCACAAGTTCAAAGCCAGTCCCAGCAATTTAGTAAGACTCTATCTCAAAATAAAAAATTTAAAAAGAGCTGCAGATGTTGCTCACTGGTATGTACCCTTGGGTTTAATCCCTGGTACCAAATAAAAAGCATTCTAATCTTTCAAATCTGGGGGTTTTTGTCAATTTAAAAATGAGCTATAAACCAGGCACGGTGGCACATGCCTGTAATCCCAGAGGCTTCGGAGGCTGAGACAGGTGGATCATGAGTTCAAAGCCAGCCTCAGCAAAATCGAGGCACTAAGCAATTCAGTGAGACCCTGTTTCTAAATTAAACACAAAATAGGGCTGAGATGGCTCAGGAGTCAAATGCCCCTGATGAGTTCAATTCCTGGTACAAAAAAAAAAAAAAAAAATGAGCTATAGATTATACTATGTAAGTATAAATCTAAAAGATTAATGACAAACTTATAGGTATAAAATATGTCAATATCCCTTTACTTTGTTTATGTAACTCATTCTACCTACCAATTATTTCATTGTAAATAAGCACTTCAGAGCAGACTAGAAACTTTATCAATGTCAATCATCTCTGTAATTTCTGGCAATGAATAGTGAATAAGTGATGAGAGCCAATGACTAAAACAAAGTGCACTTGTTTATTATTCCACCACTTAATACGGGAAAGATATACATTAAATACTTGATAAGTCAACTTTGGTTTTTACAATTTGAAACAATATGAAGTCTCTACAATTTATTCTGAATAAAATAAAATAAAAATTGTTTTATTCCCAGAACCAAATTAATTCAAAGTCCTTCCCTGGCCAAATACATTGTTATAATTAATTTATAAGGCTACATGCTAAAGAATAATTTTTCAACTTCATTTATGTATCTATATTCCACAAAAGATTTATTTGTTTGTTTCTTTGTTTATTGGTACCAGATATCAAACCCGGAAGCATTAATCACTGAGCCATATTTACAGATCTTTTTAATTTTTTATTTTAGGAAAGAGTCTCAATAAGTTGCTTTCGGCATCACTAAATTGTTAAGGCTCACTTTGAACTTGCAATTTTCCTGCCTCAGCTTTCTGAGTTACTGGAATTACAGGCATGTACCATCATGTCCAGCAAAGATATTAAATAGTTAATGATATCTGAGTAAGTTCCTAAATCCAGAACCTTTCATGGGTCGGAAGGAAGGGAAGTACCGGGGATTGAACTCAGGGGCGATCAACCACTGAGCCACATCCCCAGACCTATTTTGTATTTTATTTAGAAACAGCCATCTCACTTTTGCTGAGGCTGGCTTTGAACTCATGATCCTCCTGTCTCAGCCTCTAAACTGCTGGGATTACAGGCCTGCGCCACTGCCCCAAGCCAGAACATTTTAATTACTATTTGTATTACAGTGGTATGAATTGTTTCCTGATAGGAAGTTTTTCTACTATTTGACATTTTGTTGTAACTTTTGCCATTAACAGTCAGTAGGGTTTGAATATATTATATGTAAAACAACTTTCAGCAATGAGTACGTCAGGTAAAAATGCCTAAAAGTTTATTGGTATGGCCTCAACATTTAAACAACTATTTTCCTTCTTTAAACTTGAAATTCTTGGGCTGGGGTTGTGGCTCAGTGGTAGAGCACTTGCCTTGCACACATGAGGCACTGGGTTTGATCCTCAGCACGACATAAAAATGAATAAATAAAATAAATGTATTGTGCCCATCTACAACTAAAACATTAAAAAAAAAGTTGAAATTCTTAATAACTTAAGTGTGTCAAATATTAATAATGTGCAAGACCTTGTTAGTGTTCAAAATAAAGAAGACATGGTCTCTTAGTATACAAAGCTCAGGGTCTAGTGAGAAAAATAAAATGTACACAACTGACAAAAAGTAACTGGACAAATTATGCTTGAAAGCACAAAACTGACTGAGCCTTCTAGATAGCAGGGGATCAGTAGTTACTGAAACAATGAAATAGAAAGGGCTGGAAAAAGCCTTACAGGACAGGAAGATTCTCAACAGGCTGACACTGGGCAAAGATGTCAGCCCAGACGTCCCAGTGGATGGGCTCAAAGTGAGGAACTCCCATAAAGATAAAAGAGTCAGGGCTGGTGGGGGATGGGGGGGAGTTCTTCAATGGATTCTTAGTTTCAGTTTTATAAGATGAAAAAGATGTAGAGACTGTATAACAATATGAACATATTTAACACTGCAGAACTATACACTTAAAATGGTTAAGATGGCAACCATTAAAAATTTTAAATTTTTAAAAAATAAACTTTAAGATAATTCAATATGGCTAGAGTACTGGGGACTTGGAGGAAGGGGATGTCAAGCAGAAAACAGTTGAGTAAACTCCTGAAAAGACATTGTTGGTAAGCACAATCAACATGCTTTGCAACAAAGAGCTAATAATAAGCTTCCGATTAGGCTCTAAGACTTTATCAACATGTCAAGGAGAAGACTTCAGAGATTTGACATAATGGTTGTTTTAGAAAACTAACTTTGAAAGAAATGTGAGAGTTGGACCAGACAACAGGGTTACAACCAGCAGGACAGAAGACCAACTAGCATGCTGCTGAATCGGTACAGGCATGAATTAAGCACTGGTTCTGAGAATGGAAAGAAAGGGACAGATGCAGAGAAGGTGAACCAAATGAGAGCTGAGACTCGCTGGAATTTTACAATGAGATCACGGAGTACCCTCAGGAGTATGAGCAAGTGGGAAGGAGATACAACAGCAAACAGAGAGTACTAGAAACATGCCAAACATTCCATCTCAAAAATTTTGGCAGGAAAAAGAAGAAAGGAGATAGGACAGCAAGGGCAAGCAAAAACACAGCAGAAATGACTCAGGTTCTGTGTTGTAAGGAATGTCGTATCTTGTTTTGTTTTAGGACCAGAAGAAAATGGAATGTTGAGGAGGATTGATGTGTGCTGCTTCTAGGCCTAGCACATAAAAATGACCCATGTGGTCCTCTGTGCTCATTCTCCCCTGTCAACACCCACAGTGACCTTGGAAACCAATTACTGAACATGCCAGGGCCTCCATCGGTATGGAACAGGGCCACTCTAGCATGTTTAGAGTGATAAATAAATGTCCATTGTGCTGAGCCAGTAAACAGAGAGAGAGAGAGAGAGAGAGAGGAGTTAGTATGAGCAAGGCAGGGACCAATGAGACAAAACCTGGCAGAGAAACTAAAAACAACGATTCAATCACACAGCTATCACTGCTATCTACTGTTGAAACAAAACAGAAGTGTCTTATTTAATTGCATGTAAAGAAGTGCCAAAGAGAATTTAAGCAGAATACTATTTACACAACCAATAACTTGAGAGTAGTTTCTAAAGTATCTTCTGTCATGCTTACTCCACACTGCTGAAATCACAATATTGTCCACTTTCAAAAATAATTTAAAATTAATTACTTAATTCAGAAAGGCCTCAATTTTCCAATTAACCTTTTACTCAAAAATATCCCTAAACTGCTTGGCATCCTATCAAACTAAGACTGTTAAGAAAAGCAATAGAAGGGCTGGGGTTGTGGCTCAGCAGTAGAGTGCTCGCCTAGCACGTGTGAGGCACAGGGTTCAATCCTCAGCACCACATAAAAATAAATAAATAAAATAAAGGTATTATGTCCAACTACAATTAAAAAAAAATAAGAAAAAAAAAAAGAAAAGCAACAGAACTCATTTCGACTGTGAGGAGTCTTGGCCAAGAAAATCAATAATGAAACTCAAATGTTTCATTCTGAGGTTTCTTTTACTGTTTTGTTTTTTTTGGTTGTTTGGTTTGGTTTGGTTTGGTTGTTTTGTTTTGTTTTTGCAGTGCTGGGGGTGGAACGCAGGGCCTCAAGCACACTAGGCAAGCGCTCTACCATGAGCTCACTCTCCTTTCTTTACCACTAAAATGCCTCCTGAGGAACACAGGCAATCTTTCCTATAAAAGTATGCTGGAGGGGCTGGGGTTGTGGCTCAGTGGTAGAGCTCTTGCCTGTCATGTGAAGCACTGGGTTCAATTCTCAGCACCACATATAAATAAATAAAGGTCTATCAACAACTAATAAAATATTTGGAAAAAAAAAGTATGCTGGAGTTACTTATTACAGATAGTCCATTTAATATTGATATACATCCTCTACTAAGGCACTTTCTTCCTGTACCTGTTGGGACTCCACGGTATGGTGGGAGTCATGCTGATGTCTGGAAACAAGACGCCATTGTCCTTGATCCTGTCTAGTGCATAGTGCATTTCACAGAGGGGTAATCGATTCAACTGGAACTGGAGTTCAACCTGAAAGATCAAATGAATTTTTTAAATTATTTTTTATTCGTACACTATAATTATATATAATAGTGGAATTCATTATACCATATTCACACACTTACAAAACAATTCAATCAACCTCATTCTCCAGTATCTTCCCTTTCCCTTGCCACCTCCCTCCCCCAATCAGCTTGCTCTAGTGCTCTCTTCTATAATTATTATTTTTTAATGCAAACATTATAATTATATACAAATATATATCACATGTGTATATACATACATACATATATATGTAATTCACTGTGGTTTATTTGTATATGGACATAGCATAATTAGGTATATTCTGTTCCCATACCCTCCCCTCCTACTTTTTTTTTTTTTTTTTTTTTTTTTTTTTAATTTTTGTAGTTATAGTTGTAGAAAGACAATGTGGTGCAGAGGATCGAACCCAGTGCCTCACACATGCCAGGCAAGCAGCTCAGTCCCCTCCCTCCTTCTTGATGTCCTTCCTCTACTCTATTAGTCTCCCTTCTATTGCCATGAGATCCACCCCACCACCACCCATGGCTTCCACATGTGAAAGAAAACACTGGACTCCTGACTTTCTGAATCTGGTTTTAGTTCACCTAGCATAATGTTACAAACATCAATGATCAGTGCTAGCAGCTCACTAGATGACTTTGTGGAGACAACAATTTGGGGGAACAGTAGTTCAGAGTTTTTTTTTTGTTTTTTTTTAAGTGTGATCATGTTCTAATAGCAATTATTATGGTTAATATTTGCTTTGTTTAGTTAGTATTAGGCACTGTAATAAATACTTTACATAGATTGCCTCACTTAACAGTATTAATGGTATATATATTGTTACTAACATCATTTTACATATTAAGACACTTAAGCACTTGTAACTCATTTAATCTCTAGACAAAATTTGATACCACCTTCTTACAAAGAATGCATTTGATAAAATCAGTAAAACGATAGGGAAAAATGATTGACAATCAGCCCTATTACACTGTTCCAATTCATTATGAATAATATGCACCAAGTTTTACATTCAAAAAGGAAAGAAAAGGCTAGCCTTCCAGTTAAACATGGCAGCCTGAACACACAATTCACCTAAAAACCCACAAAGATAAAGAGAACAGGAACATATACAACTGCAAATGAGAGATATCCGAGCATGGAGCTTAGTTTTTCATTTTTCTTCTTTGCTGATTTAAAACTAATCAGAGGGGCTGGGGTTGTGGCTCAGTGGTAGAACACTCACCTAGCATGTATGAGGCACTAGGTTAAATCCTCAGCACCACATAAAGATAAATAAATAAAGGTATTGTGTCCATCTACAACAAAAAAATGTTTTAAAAAAATAAAAATAAGGGGTTGGGGTTGTGGCTCAGAGGTAGAGTGCTCTCCTAGCATGCATGAGGCACTAGGTTCAATCCTCAGCACCACATAAAATGTAAAATAACGATATTGTATCCACCTAAAACTTAAGAATAAATATTTTTTTAAAAAAATAATAAAAATAAAACTAATTAGAAAGCTCACCTTATTTAAAAGTAGAACATATTACATGTTACTTAAATTTTTTAAAAAAACTAATTTTCTCTGGGAGTTACAAGAGGTCCAATTCTCAATTCACCAAAATAAGCTAATCATATTTCTAGTTATTGTGGAAGAACGAACCAAACCAGAAGAAGGCTATCAACTGGCAATGGGACTTCAGACATGTGTAGATACTGCGTCACTTTCAAACATACCTGTGTGTCACAGTCAGGCCGAAGGTTAAGTTCTTCACAGCATTCCCTGGATATCCTTAAAAATATATATTCTTTTGTTTTTTCTTCAATAGTAGCTTCATAAACCTTCTCTTTGGTTCCCTGGGTCTGTGCTAACTTCTCTTTAGGGACTGGTAATAAATAAACAGCATTGACTTTGGTCATCACCAGTCGTCCAGCCAAAGTATCTTCAGAAAGTGTTTCAGTAAGCTTAAAACGCCCAAAAAGTTGTCCATTCTGAGCATACTTTGCACCTCCAGAAACTCCAGTGAGCATGAAGCTTGCTAGAATCTGCAATTGCACTTTAAGGTTGAACCTAAATTAGAAGTAGAAAACTGGTGTGAATATTTTACATCAAAACCATCAAAAACCAAAAGAGTACAAGAAAAATAAATCAAACGTACTAAAAATTAAAAAGTTCCTATCAATTTCACTCTATTTTTTATGTAAGTTTTAACTTACATACTATCTTTCTGCCTCTAATCCAAGTTGGAGACACCAAAATTTTTTTTTAAACATATATGTGTGTGTGTATATTTAGTTGTCAATGGATCTTTATTTTATTTATTTATATGCAGTGCTGAGAATCAAACCCACACACATGCTAGGCAAGCGGTCTACCTCTGCGCCACCACCCCAGCCCCCAAAACTTTTTTAAAGTGAATAAACTTCCATGCAAGTTATATAAAGATGCATACCTGGTTGTGTTAAAGAGTACCCACATTCAGAAAAGTCTGAGTGTTGAAAAATGAAACTAAAGATGATTTTTAAATAAAATGAACTACTATGTATTAACTAATATGAAAGTCAGCTTAAACACACCACTGGGATAACAAAGACATTAAAATCACCTGGGACCAGGACAGTCATCGCATCAAAAAACTACAATGAACTTTAACTGATTGCTTTCCAAGCAAAACAGACTAAAAGATTCTAACCATAAAATTTATCTTTCAATAACATTAATGAAAAACAAGCATAATATAGGATATAGCTCAGTTGGCAGAGTGTTGCCTGGGTTCAATCCCCAGCACTGCCCTTCTTTTTTAGAAGGCAAATCTCATGCAGGAATTATGTCAAAAGAAGTTAAAATCCATCTTACTAGAAAATAGTTGTAGTACCCACTCACACTTCCATGTGTACATAAGCACACAGAGAATTAAATATGAAAGCAGCACAAACAATCACAATTAATCTACATAGTTAAGAAATGTGAAGAGAAAGTTTAAAGTTGGTTGACAATTCTTTGCCATTCTGAAAAAGTACTGACAATGTGATAAGAAGCAAGGGAAATATTTTCTACTCTTTCTTAGAAGATATAAAACATTTGAATGAAAAAGAAATCATATTGTTTGAAATATAATATCTAGTTAAGGAAAAGGCTATTGCTAAAATTTTTTTTTCAGATCTTCCTTTGCATATATGACATCAAGAATACCTTATAAGGGCTGGAGTTGTGGCTCAGTGATAGAGCACTTGCCTAGCATGTGTGAGGCACCTCTCAGCACCACATATAAATAAATGAATAACAGCTTTAAAAAAATATGTCAACATCTTTAAAAAAAATATGTACTTATGAAAAGAAAACCTTATAAATCCCTAAGGGAAAAAAACTATTTTAAAAAACATAAATTTCTTGGGCTATGGCTGTGGCTCAGCGGTAGAGCGCTTGCCTAGCATGTGTGGGGCCCTGGGTTCGATCATTAGCACCACATATAAATGAATGAATGAGTGAATAAATAAATAAATAAATAAGTCCAACTATGACTAATAAATAAGTTTCTTCACTAGAAATATGTACATTAGCCGGGCTCAGCGGCATACACCTGTAATCCCAGCAGTTTGGGAGTCTGAAGCAGGAGGATCATGAATTCAAAGTCAGCTTCAGCAAATTTTCTTTTTCTTTTTCTTTTTTTTTTTTTTTAAAGAGGAGAAGAGAGAGACAGAATTTTTTTTTGAGAGAGAGAGAGAGAATTTTTTTAATAGTTATTTTTCAGTTTTCGGCGGACACAGTATCTTTATTTTTTTATTTTTATGTGGTGCTGAGGATCAAACCCAGCGCCCTGCGCACGCCAGGCAAGCGCATTACCGCTTGAGCCACATCCCCAGCCCCTTCAGCAAATTATTGAGGCACTCAGCAACTCAGCAAAACCCTGTCTCTAACTATAAAAAGGGTTGGGGATGTGGCTCAGTGGTTAAGCACCTCAGGGTTCAATCCCTGGTGTGTGTGTGTGTGTGTGGTGTGTGTGTGTGTACATCAAATACCATAATTAAAATATTATATTAAAATTATGGCCAGGCGTGGTGGCACATGCTTGTAATCCCAGCAGCTCAGGAGGCTAAGGCAGGAGGATCATGAGTTCAAAGCCAGCCTCAGCAAAAGTGAGGTGCTAAGCAACTCAGTGAAACCCTGTCTCTAAAATACAAAATAGGGCTGGGGATGGCTCAGTAGTTGAGTGCCCTGAGTTCAATCCCCAGTACACACATACATACACACACACACACACACACACACACACCCCAAAATTATGACTATCCATTTTTATATTATAAAGCTACAAATTATATTTGCTTAGAGATATTTTTATAGAATTTAGAAAATATTTAATGAAAATAACAGATCTGAACAGTTATTTATGTTTTTAATAAGTCATAAAAGTTCACAGGCTCCATTAGTAATCTTATTTATTTATTTATTCATTCATTCATTCATTCATTCACTCATTTATTTATTTTGTGGGGCTGGGGATTGAGCCCAGGGCCTTGTGCATGCAAGGCAAGCACTCTACCAACTGAGCTATATCCCAGCCCTCCATTAGTAATTTTAAAACACATTTTACAACAGAACATTTAAGGCTTCAAAAAGAGATATATAAATATATACTGAAATTCATATTAAATAACATGGATTTATATGAAGATCAAATAAATTATAGCTGAATATATATACAATATATGGAATCTCTAAAAATCATGTTATATTTCCCTCATTCTCAAGTTAGACAGGTTAAGGTGGTAATTTGAAGAAATGCAGATTGTATATTATCTAGTTATGTGTGACTGGAATTAGTACCTAGTATCCAAATAACAATAAGCCTTAAAATGAAATGAAACACTCCTCCATTTACATATAATCTCTGTTAACCTACTTTTTTTTTTTAAAATAAAACATGCTGTTTTAAAGAACAAAAACCTTTATGTTACACATGCTTTCTTAAATGAGGCTAAAATTTTATTTGCCTTTTACCATCCAAATAACTTAAGAAAGGTCCGGGGTCATTAAGACTTCCCCCACAGGCAAGAGATTACTTCTAGTGCATTCCCGACTCACAAAGGACCTCTTTGTTGCTAAAGGGGATGTACAACACTTTCAGAACCTTTTTATCCCCTTCATTTTGTAACCACTCTCCTCTCTTTAAACTTCCTCTTCCCCCGACTTCAGTTAAGACATACTCTCCTAGTTTTCTCACTACCTCTATACTTACTCCTCCATCTTCCATCCAAGATCAGCCACCTTATCAAAGCTCTACCCACTGTCTTCTTACTTGTGCTCTACATTCTCCTAGGTAAGGTTGACCTCTCCCAGATCTACAGCACGAGGCTCACACACTCTCAAAACCCATAAACGCAAACTGGAATCACCATGTGACCTCTTCAAGGTGTCCCCCAAACCAATCCTCCCATGTATTAAACAACTTAGGGAACAGCATTAACTTGCACCCAGGTGTCCAAGCCAGAAATCAAATCATTCTTTTTTTTTTTTCTTTTTTTAAGAGAGAGAGAGAGAGAATTTTTTAATATTTATTTTTCAGTTTTTGGTGGACACAACATCTTTATTTATTTTTTATTTTCATTTTTTTTATGTGGTGCTGAGGAACCCAGCGCCCCGCACAAGCCAGGCGAGCGCACTGCGGCTTGAGCCACATGCCCAGCCCCTCAAGTCATTCTTAACCTTGCCTGACATGAACCTGTGTTCCATATCATCACTAAGCCCTGGTAGTTCTGAATGGTCCTCAGTTCCTTCTCCTCCAATTCATCTGCATCTCAACATTTTTAACTTGGATTATTATAACAAATTTACAGTATAACTTCTTTTTTTGAATCTATTCTTTACACCACAATTAAAGGTCTTTGTACAGGTCTGAGGATAAAGTAAAAAAAATTCTCTCATCTACCAGGCCCCACCCATATGCCCTCCACTGCAACTATAAATGATCAACTTGCAGGTTCCCCTAAAATTCTATGCTCTTATTCTTATATCCTGTTTCTTTTAACTCAATTCTTTTGACTTACTTCTGAACCTAACAAATCTATACCCATATAAATGTGATTTATATTTATATATTTATATAGCATATAAATGCGATTCAGTGTTTTTTTGTTTTGTTTTGTTTTACAATTCAGTTTAAATACCATCTGCTCCCAAAAGCAGACTTGAGGCTGCTCCCAAAAGCAGATTTGATTCCCTTCTTGAGTAGACTCAGCTCCTCTCCCTTCTAATATGGGACAGATGCCTCTTCTGTGGGGGCCCTGGATTCCTCCACCAGAATGCTGCTACACTTATGGTCTGTCTCTGTACCAAATTATAACTTGTAGGACACAAGGAAACATATCCTGTTTGCCTTCTAGTAACTAGCCTAGAACCGAACACTTTGAATACTCAAAAAAATTCTGTTCCCTGAATTAACAATACATTTCTGTTAGAATCTAAATTTTTGCCATGCACCATATTCTCATTTCAAACACTTCACAGTATTCCCTAACAAATTCTTGAAATATATTTCTCAATGATCATAATATATTAAAAAATTTCATTGCCATATCTATTTTAGAATCTACCATCACAAAACACTTGATCACAATTTAGCAGGCATGAGAAATTAATTTTTCAGTTTGGGAGCAACAAAAGAATCCTCTTGTGATATTTAGTTGTGTGCTGCAGCAAAACTCTTGAGGTAGAGGCACTAAAAAATAAAAATCCTAAGAAAAACAGCTTCTGCTGCAGAAAATTCATCACTTATTCAAGATGAAGATATTTCAGACTTTCTACTAGTAGTTATAGATGCTAATATTTAACTTTTCTAAAAGATGAACAGATTAAACCTAAATTTCAATCAGTAATTTCTCTTAGGAATTAAAATATAATTTTTAAAATTTAGTAACTCAGAAATACTTATAAAATATAGCTTATAATTAACAAACATATTTATTATAAAGAAAAACCACCTTTTCATTGTTGCATGCCACATTTTGAAATCTACCTTAAAGTTTACATAACTACTAACCTTTAGATGAAGTAGAATAAACAGCCAACAG